CATTTATTTTAACAAGAAAAGGTTTAGCATAACATATCTCAAAAGAAGAGAAAACATGCAGATGTTGTTGAAATTTTTCAGTAAATATTTAGTTTGGCCCATGACTTAGTCCTAGTTTTTAATTTTGGCCCTTTGTGAATTTGAGTTTGAAGGTTCTACAATTGGACATTTAACATATTTATCTCATATTAATTAAACTGAAGCTGTTTTATTGCTTCACAAAACTTGACCTTCACATTATTACTGGGAGGAGGGTCCACTCTACACAGATCTGACCTGTAACCTGATGTAGTGGCCTCGCCTGCTTGTCTCCGTGGCAACAGATAGGTTTCAATGCCATACTGTGGAACATTCCAGACAAAGACATAATAGAGCCACAGTAGCTAAATTGGTAGTGTTTGTTCAAGTCTCGCTCTCAACTTAAATATCACTGGTAGAGCGGTCAGATCCAATGAACCACAGGTTGGCAGTGGGAATTCAGCTCCCACAAATGAATGCTGTCATTGTGTTCTTGGGCAACACACTTAATCCACCTTGCCTCTACTGTATGTATACTACTGAATCAATGTGTGTCTGTGAATGTGACACTTTAGGTGCTTTGACGGTGGAAAAGCACTATACACCAGAAAGGTTGCACAGTACACCTTTAAATGTAAATGCACTCAAATATAAAGGAGTGTTACTTGTGTATGCCGTAGAAAAAGTCCTCCTCCATCAGAGAGAGTATTATACTGAAGTACCAGGAGATGCGTGATGTTTTGGATGAGGACTTGAGGACCACCCTGTCCCATTTGGAGATGGAGGAGCGCGCCGCCGTCTCCGCTCTGGACGGCTTCATGGAGACAAACTGCTCCCTCATACAGGAGATAGAGCAGGAGCTGGACAGACTCACACTGACAATGGAACAAATACAACTACAGCCTCAAACTATGGTGAATTAATATACGCATTCATTCTCAAATACTTGGGTTTGGGGAAAAGAACGGTATTGAAGTCAAATGAAAACATGAAAACAAATCAAAAATCTCTATCAAGGTCTTCTGTCTTGCATCATGAGCTTGATTCAGTTTTGACATTTTGCTGAATATCCACCCTTCACCTTCTTTTCATGTTGCTTAAAAACAGGGGAAATAAATATATTTATAATAATATAATTTAATATTATAAGGGTCTGACATTATGTAGGCAATTGTAATTCTATAATAGGTATGTACTTGTATAACTTTCTTGAAATGCTGTTTAACCTTGACATGCCTGACCTCAATTATTTTTGGGCCTAAAACTGGGTCACTAAACAGGCCCAGAATAAATCACAAAGCAATTACAAGCCAAGATATTTTCTTAAGCTAATTGTCTTTTGAGTGAATACATTATTAAAAGTCACAATATTAAATTGGTGCAGAAAAATATGATTCAAAGAACTGTTGCTCATTACTGCACACTGAAGTCAATTTCTCAGATATTTTCTTTTATCTTTCAGTCTTTCTTTAGCCACGATGAGCTGGAGGACACAGATGATAGGTATGCTGTATATCTGTATATAACACATTTCACTGATAGATCGGTGTAAATCGTTTTTCACTGGTAATTTCTTTAGAGTATTGGAGACCCTGACTCTCACAGACCCCAGTCATGTGACCCTGGACCAGGCCAAATCGGAGCAGATCCAGAATCTGACCCACAACCTGCTGCAGCTCATCCAGTCACAGACGCCCCTCATCAAGAAACTACTGCACAGCTGTAGGTTCAATGGCTTGTGATTTATATGTAAAAAACTAAAACCAAATCAATGCAACACACAGCCTGAAGTATGGCCTTTCTATTATGCTTTTCAATGGAAATGATCAAACTAATGCACTATGTAATATTTATGTGGAGGCTCAACCACCTGCTTGTCTCCATGGAGATGTTATTGTTTTGGCTATTGTCTGTAATGTTCTAGTCAGGCTGGCATCACCTAGTACCTCCGCTCAATTTAATTTCTCTCCAGCAACTAGGTCAATCAGTGACTAGGAATCGGAATACACTAGACTGTTCGCAAAAACCTCAGAAATGCGAGTTCGGGCACCAGCCAATCAGCGAAGAGCCATACATTCTGTGCTGGCAACGATTCCTGAGATCAAGGATTTTAAGCCAAAACAAAGAGAATGTTTGGTGAATTTTATAAAGGAGAAAGACATTATTGCCCTTCTTCCTACCGGATTTGGGAAAAGCTTAATATACCAGTTAGCCCTGTTAACGGCGCATTACATACGTCACGACCAAATAGCAGCAATTGATTAAACAAAAAAAAAGTACCCACCTACCGTCGAACGAATGAATTCTAACGCTGCAAGGCCAGACAGTTTCTACAAAGTGAAACTGGCTGATGAATCAGGCTCGTAATGTTCCACACTATGACATTAAATGTTTATCTCCATGTGTGCAAGCAGCTGATGCCACCAGGCCAATTATACAAAATAAGTTTAATGTCCTTACAACAAAGCAACATCTCCAAGACAAGCAGATGGAAAAGCCAACATCAGAAAAGTTACAAAGTTCATAAAATATGGTAGAAATTATTGGTCACCAGCAAATTCTCTATACATTTTTTAAATCTTCATATATAGTACATCACTTGTTGCTCTAAATATATTTACTATTTAAACCATTACTGTGACTTACAATGTCCTTTCATCAAGCAGACTCCACTGAGGTCTATCTGAACCCTGACTCCGCCCATCCCAAACTCCGTCTCTCTTCTGGAGCAGACAGTGTGAGCTACAGTGACGCCTGGCAGGACGTCCCAGACCACCCCGCCCGCTTCGACTCCACCCTGTACGTCCTCAGCGCCCAGGCCTTCAGCTACGGACGCCATTACATTGAACTGGACGTGAGCGGGAAATCTTACTGGGAATTAGGTGTCACGTACCCCACCATTGCGCGCAAAGGTGCCAGTGAGGCGTGCTGGTTGGGGAGGGGAGACGAGTCTTGGAGTATAGAGTATTTTGATGGGGAGTACACAGCGTGGCATGGGGGTATACCACACCAACTGCCCTTTGTGAAACACTACAGTCATATTGGGGTACTGTGCAGTTTCCCCGCGGGACAGGTCATGTTCTTAGAGGCGGATAAAATGACCCCCCTCTTCTCCTTCTGTGTCGGGACGTTCACTGATAGTTTACTTTTGGCTCTATGTCCTGGACACGACCACAATGGGACCAATACTAAGCCTATAGTCATCTGTAATGCACCATCTCCCACCAGTGACCTATGATAATTAAAGGGGCACTATGAGTTTTTAGAAGGAGGGCCAGATACATTCTTCTCTCCATGGAGGTGTTATGTTTTGCCTGGAGTGTTCTAGCCTGATTCATCACTTTGTGGAAACTGTGTGACCTCGCAGCATTAGGATTTGTTCGCTCGACAGTTTTTTTATTTAACCGAGCCCTGCTATTTGGTCATGGCGTATGTAAGGCGCCAAATCCCATAGGAAGAAGGGCAATAACGTCTTTCCCCTTGATAAAATTCACCAAACATTCTCTTTGTTTCGGCTTTAAATCCTCGATCTCAGGAATCGTTGCCTACATCCATCTTGACCTCTGTGTTTGCTGTTGTGCTGTACCACAAAAGAGACTCAGACAGGTGCTTGAGTTTAACGTCATGGTTTCACAGCTCTTCGTTGATTGGTCGGAGCGTGGTGTATAACTTCCGGGGTTCTTGCAAACCGTCTAGTGTATTCTGATTCCTGACCTCTCTTGCTGGAGAGAAATGAAATTGAGCAGAGGCAACCGATGACATTCCACAAAATGGTATTCATTTTGCAATCTCCATGGAGACAAGCAGATAACACCACTAAGCAAAGTATTTTTTGATACAGTATATGTTTAATATGCTTATAATATCATGAAACAAGCCGGTGACAGACCCTCCACCAGAAACCTAAGCTACATAGTGCACCTTTAAAACTACTTTATAGACACATGATTATTTGTATGTTGTTTGCTAGAAAAGTTTTACAAACATAACCATTTTTGTATAGTAAAATTCTTTATTAATGGTCCTATATTATGCACATTGACTCTTGTGAGCTTTAAGCCGTGTTATAAGGCTTGAGTTGTGTTTTGTTTCATTCACACATCTTTGAGTAACCCTTTATTATTAGTCTGTCTACAGCTCTAAAGTTCAATCCTCCTCCTTCTACACTTTTTTCAACAGTTTTCAAGTTAACAGCTACCTTTGACCTTTTGTTTAGTAGAGATTGGCAATTCCAGAGCTGGGATTATCCAAATCATTCTAGTGAAGGTGTATGGAGTTTGAAAAGACAGTGGAGCATTTCGTGCATTACCAACGTTTTCTGTTTGAGAGAAGAATGTAATGAATGCTCTCATCTGAAGGGTTTGGGTGTTGAACGTGTGTGAATGAAACAAAACAAAACTTCCAGTTATGTTTTTGATGAGGAAACAACATTATAACATAGATCAGAAAATAATCTAATATGAGTTCTTTAACAACACACTTTGGTTAACAAACTGGCAGCTGTTTTACACCACATTGTTGTCATTGCATGGCTGTGCTGTGGGTTGAACTGGACCAATGAAACAAACTAAAATATATGCTTACAATGAACAAAGATGGCCTTTGAGAATGTACTGTAGATTCATTTTAAGATGTGTTATAATGCATGGACTGATTAAGCACTCAAGAATGCAATTTTAAACTTCAGTGTGTTAATAGTGAATGATTAAAAAATCAAACACAACCAAAGTCTACATCAAAATAAACAAACTTTGCAAACATGCCTACACTTCAGATTAGAACATTAGAACATATTTTGTGCCTAAATGTCAATTATTAAACTTGCATTTCCATAAATAAACATTAATTATTGATAAATAAACTGGTAATAAAGACAACATTAGATTTAAAACATGACAAACATTAGGATCAATACAGCAAAGTCAGCCCACAGACAGCCCACAGAGAGGAGCAAAGGTCAGTGTACTGTGTTTAAGGGTATATCTCCAAGCGGGAAGCTCCAGTTGTGGTTCTGGGCTGATCCTGTGCCATCATGAAGCTCAGGCTTCTGCTGCTGTGTGTGCTGCTGGCTCTGCTCTTCGTCTCCTGCGAGGTAAGGAAAATACAATAACATACAGCACAAAAAAGGGCACTTTACAGGGCAGTAGAAGAGCAAACAAAGAGGTCTGTTGTCTCAGGCCCCAGGGTTTTAGGGCCCCAGAATTGGATCCTCTTCCCTTTTATTTATTTTACGATAGGCCCATGTGAGGCTTCTTGCACTACCACCCCAAATTTCTGTCGATGGCGTTGTATATTTGGGAATTTTGCTTTTACATTACAGTGAAGTTACTCTTGGAAGAAAACTAACAAAAGCAGGCCTACAGATTTTACAGCAAAACCTGAGCGACACCAGCTCAGTTGGTTGAGCGTTTGTCCACTGTTCTGAAGGTTGAAGGTTCAAATCCTGCTGTAGACATAAACATCATTGATTGAGCAGTCAAATCCACTGACCCACAAGTTGGCTGGTGTGATTCTAGCACAGATGAATGCTGTTGTTGTGTCCTTGGGCAAGACACTTAACCTAGTGTGAGAATGGGTGTGTGAGTTGGTGAGTGGTTCCTTGATGCAAAGCGCTTTGAAAGCCTTGAAGGTGGAAATGCACTATATAAAAATGTGACCATGTGACCAAAAAAAAAAAAAGACAAGTGTGAAGAATGTCCAAGTCGTCTCCTTGCCAGAAAAAAGAAAAGTGAAAAAATGAAGACACAGAATTTGTTTAAAATGCAGTGTTGTTGAATGAATTATGCCACAATGCAAATTAAGGCAATATCAATATTTACTTGTGTCATTATATTTATTTTCCCCCTTTATTAACATTGCAATTTTCCTTTACTTCCCACTCACTACAGCGGTGGTATTTGTGGTAGCTGGTGGAATTTCTGACCATCTAGTAGTCTATAGTGGAGTGAAGCATTAGATTGTGTTCTAGTTTAATCCTGTACATCCTTTTTTCTCAAAGATGAAGAAGAAAAAAGACAAAGACAAAGACAAAGGTCATGGTCATGGTCATGGTCATGGTCGCGGCCGTGGTCACGGTCACGGTCATGATCATCATCATCATCGTGGAAAACATGGCAGAGGACGCTTTGTAGATATCATCACCGGTAACACACACATTTGAACTAACTGTATACGAACAGAGAAATGTCTTAAGATCTAACTGAAATGTGCTGTCCCAGATATATTCTTCCAGAATGCTGGTGATGATGATGACGACGATGAAGAACACAGCAGCGACTGGCTTTATGAACTCCAGGAACCAGAAGGTAAAACAAAAAAAAAAAAACATCTGCAGCATAGACAAGCAATGAATATGTCTAGATATTAAATTATTATTATTATGATTAAGTAGAAGTAGATGTTTACGTAAGGTGCTAAAAATGACAGTTTAATAATACCACAGAACTCATTACGGCATCTGCATGGTACACTTGAATCCAACGGGTATAAGCTACTTCAGTATTACTGGCCTTTCCAACAGCTGGTGAAAGTGTCTTGCCAAATTATAATCTTCAGTGTCTGTATCTGGACTTTAACTGCCAACCTTCTGATTAATGGATCTTGACTTGAATGTTTTCGATAATAAATATTCTTAGCACTCCAGGTTTAGATAATGAGTTATGTCCTGCTGTGGTTTAGATTGTACTTGACCAATAAATATTTTTTGTGTAGGATTTGGTCATTATGTTTGCCCCTCGGCTCCCTTGTCATATGGTGTTCCCCAGAGGTCGACACTTGGGCCTTTGCTTTTTTCCTTTTGTGCTCCCTCTGTGCACCATTTTGAGGAAACATGGCATCACATTCCACTGTTATGCTCATGACAGCCAGATCTATTTACCAAGACACATGATCCACAAGCTGCCAAACCACTTCTGGACTGTATTTTGGATGTTACTGAACTTCTGCGGTTATGATTTTTGTTCCCAGTGCTCCAAGTAACTCCTTTCCTGTGGACTTGGTTTCACTGAGTAATTTGGTAAAGCTAGTTGTGTCATACTTGGGCATCAAAATGGACCTTGATCTAAAACTTGATCAGCAATTTATTGTTGTGTAGTGAAGTCTAGTTTTTTCCAGCTAAAAAGTGGCCAAAATTCTGTCTGAACATTTTGAAACTGTGATACTTACATTTGTCACAACCAGATTAGACTATTGTAATGCACTCTATGTTGCTGGTCTCAGCCAAAATACACTTTTACAAAACACTTTTTGCAATAACCATTTGCAATATGTCCAAAACTTGGCAACTCAGCTCTTAACTGGGACTTCACAACACAAGATCTCACCTATTTTAGCTTCTCTCCATTGGCTTCCAGTGTGCTTTAGAGTTGATTTCAAAATTCTTTTATTTGCCTTTAAATGTTTGCATGGCCTAGCGTCCTCCTTCCTCGCTGACCTGATCCACCCTCACGCCCCCTCTTGCACTCTTAGGTCAGCAGATCAGCTGCAGCTTGCACTTCACTACACATGTTTTTTCATAGATTGAGTCTCTCCCTTTTTTTAAATCACTCTTAAAAACGTACCTTTATTCACTGGCCTAGTTTTTTGTGTTTTTTAATAGTTGCATTGTCAGTGTTGGGGAGTAATCTATTACATGTACCGGAGATACTTAATCAGAGTACTAATTATGAGTAACAGTTACAACGGTTACAGTTACTGTTTCAGTGAGTGGTAATTGGATTACAGTTACTTCATTGAAATAAATAGATTACACAGAAGTATTTTGCTGTTTTCCCCTTTTTCGGCTATATCCCCAGGTCTAAACTAGATCTAAACCAGGTCTAAACCAGGACTAAACCAGGTCTAAACCAGGACAAAAACCAGGTCTAAACTAGATCTAAACTAGATCTATACCAGGTATAAACCAGGACTAAAACAGGACTAAACCAGGTCTAAACCAGGTTTAAACTAGGACTAAAACAGATATAAACCAGGACTAAAACAGGACTAAACCAGGTCTAAACCAAGACTAAACCAGGACTAAAACAGGACTAAACCAGAATTTAACAGGACTAAACCTGGACTGAACCAGGACTAAAACAGGATTTAACAGAACTAAACCATGCTGCGTGGATGTGTCTCCTCCTCTTATATCAATAATATTTTTAATACAGTTAATTAAAGTCTGGGCTTTTCATTGTCTTTTAGCAGACAGAACTTCTTATGTTACGATATCCTCGTCTTTGCTGCTCTACAAGTATCAAGTAATCCAAAGTATTCAGATTATGTTACTCACTTTAAGTAATTTCATGGATTCCGTTATAAACTACATTTTGGGGTATGTAATCTGTAATCTGTAGGGGAATACATTTTAAAAGTAACCTTCCCAACACTGTGCATTATGACTTTGATTGTCTATTCAGTGTTTGTGTATGGCACTTTGGCCAACTGTAGTTTTTTGTGCGTTTATAAATAAAGCTAGTACAGTATATTACAATGGGGAGCTACTTTGACATTGACAGTGAAGGGCGCTTGTTCAGATTTTCAAAAAGACAACACTTAAATTATCATGGAAAATATGATGAAAATTCTTTAAAGAGATTGCATTTTTGTCCCAGGTCCATGCAGCCCCAACCCCTGTCATAACAATGGAGTTTGTGAAGAAGGAAAGAAAGGCAAGAAGTTCAAATGCGACTGTCCAAAACCATTTAAGGGCAAGAAATGTGAAAAAGGTTGGATATTATCATTATCAATACAAATTGATCTGTTTCTTTTATCAGTGTTAGACACATTGGTTTTACTTGTTATATTTCCAGGTCCCAAACACTGTAAAAAGGGCAGGTGCGGCCGTGGAGAATGTGTGGTGACCTCTGATCCTCCGTTCTTCGAGTGCAAATGCAAAGAGCCATTCAAGCCTCCAAACTGTGTCCAGTGTAAGTCGACATATAAATATATTAATATATAATAATATTTCTAAAATATTTATGTATTTTTTCATGTTTTTTTACTATGATAAGTCTCATCACATCTTAGTGGTATTAGCCATCGTAAAATGGTTTTCTTTACAAAAAAACATACCTTAAGATGTTTTGCTGCCTCACACACCATTAACTTTTCACAGTAATTTTATATCACAAATAAAATGCAACTTTTAAGATAGCATTGCTGGTTTTGAGCCTCTTTTAAACTGCTATAAAATACTAAACACATTCCAAGTTGTCCAAACGTACAACACTCACTACAACTTCTATCTCAGTTTGTATCTGTTCATTGTCCAACCAAAAAATGTTGCATGGATTGTTCAAAGAAAATTATTTGTCCTGTAGAGTTGCCATAGCTGCACAAACTAAAAAAAGTCTAATTAAGAGAATATGTGTTTTTAGATTCTGTTTGTGACCCTAACCCTTGCCAAAATGGAGGGAAGTGTGTGAGAGACGGCAATGATTTCGACTGCGCCTGTGCTGATGGGTTCAGTGGACACTTCTGCCAAGTCGGTAAATATTACATCAAACCTCTATCACTCAGGTCAAATTTTAGCCTGTTCTCAAGCTAACTAAGGGTAACCACACCCAAAAATGTAATTTATAAAAAAAAATTTGTCTTCCAGTTAATAACAGATCTAAACCAGCACAACACTAGATCTAATCCAACCTGAACTATGTCTGGAATAGGGTTATTGCAATAGTAGTTCTTAACCAAAACTTTATTAAGCTGACTATAAATTAAGCAACCTCTCACAGAAATATTCCACATTATGGCTTTAAAAATCTATCTTGAACTTATTCAATTATAGTTGTTTTACTACTAAACTAACTTAAAAAAAAAAACAAAAAAAAACATGCATGCTTCCTGCAAGTGAACTTGTCTCTAAAAAGATCTGACCTGTAACTTGCCAGATGGAATTGCCAACTTGTCTCCATGGAGAGAAAAATCTAATATTATACTGTGAATCATTCCAGATAAAGCAATAACTTCTCCATGGAGACAAGCACTTCTGACATGATGTACCTTTATGATCACTGCTATACATGCATCCTGAATTTCCATGTTTGATTTCCCAGTGGGGTGCGTCTATTGTCAAAGCCGATCGTTTCAAGTTTTTTGAATCTTATCGCTTTTGTTTCTGGTTCTGCTATTGTCATATTTTAATTATGGGATTCAGACATCGTAATTGTTTGGGTGTTTGATGTCCCAACAGCAGAAAACAGCTCGAGAAATGGGCTTTGGACGTTTGTGAACTCCATAACTGCAAAAGGGAATCAGATCTCTGTGACTGCAAACCTCCTCCTTCAAAATGTTTCCCTTCCCAATGGAATTGAAAAATAGCGATGAGCAGTACTGATACACAGGAAGGACAAAAAAGGTAACCTTTGGCTTAGAAATCATCCTGAGTTTGCAGCGAACATTTTGTATGTGGAGCACCATCAAAGCAAAATCCAGATCCCTCACTCAACATTGGTCACAAATTTAAAAAGTCAACGCCAAAGTGAAAAGCACCAGCTGTTTTCCAAGAAACACCTTCCATCGCAAAGCGACCAAGATGTGATGTTGCTGTAAAGTCAGTCGAACAAGAAAGTGCGAGCTCACCCTGCTTGTCTTCTGTACCTCTCACTTAATAAACGGGATTTTGCTTTGATGGCGCTCCACATAAAAATATTCACTGGATGATTTCTTAGGTAGCCAAAGGTTACCATTTTCGTCCTTCCTGTGTATCAATACTGCCCATCGCCTTCCCCTTTCACTATTTTTCAATTACGTAGTGAAGGGAAAAAGGTTGGATGGAGGTTTGCAGTCACACAGATCTGATTCCCTTTAGCAGAAACCTCCGAAACCCATTTTTCCGCTGTTAGGACATCAAACAACCACACAATTACGATGTCCGGAGCTCATAACTAAAATATGACAATATCAGAACCAGAAACATAAGCGATATGGTTCAAAAGACTTGAAAAGATCGGCTTTGACAATAGACGTATCCACTGGGAAATCAAACATGGCGGTTTGATGCTCACTTTTTCAGAGGACCCTTCCTAGCAAGCATTGTGCGATGACCGGAAGTCCGAAATTTGCGATGCATGTGTAGACCAATGTAATAAACTGTAGTTCACTCAGTTACATCTCACCCCAGGTCCCGATGACTGCTATACTGGGGATGGGGAGTCCTACAGGGGAAATGTGAGTGAGACAGATGATGGTCACGAGTGTTTGTACTGGAACTCTCACTTCCTCTTGGACTCTGGCACCTACCCCTTTGGGTCCAACGAGGACGATGACGGACTGGGCCCCCACAACTTCTGCAGGTCAGGGCCCATTTTAGATACACACAAAAGGACACATTTTTTATGCATGAGTTTAAGAATGATGAGAAATTAGGGCTGTTGCCTCGTGAATGACAATTTAAAAGCACAAATTACTCATTGAGAAAGACATTTAATCACAATATTGCAAATGTTCACAGGCATAACATCACACATATATTTTTTATCACCATATTGCTCAGTCCTAATAGACAATATTTTTATCCAGCTGGCCTCACTCATTTTTTGATATAGTAAATCCCAACATAATTAAAGGTGCACTGCGCAACTTTTCTGGTGAAGGACCTGCTTGTCTCCATGGAGATTTTATTTCTTTGCCTGGAATGTTCCAATGGTATGACTTTAAACATATCCATCTAGGATTTATTCATTACAGGTGTTTCTGTTGCTAAAAAATACAATAATTCCTTCTGTGAATAGGGGCAACTATGGAAGATAATTTGTTCTATCAGATTTTGAATTTTAAATATCACTGAATTTCTCACTTTTTATTTTTTAAATCTGAAAAAAAAAATAAAAAATAAATTCTGAATTTTAGTTGCTGAAATTTTAAGTATGTTTCAATGTTTCAAATTCAAAATAAAATTTTTACCTTCTTTAATATTCAGCACAGACATTTTCAAGCCCTCAAATTTGAAAGTCAAAATTCAAAGCACAAAATTCTCTGTACATTTACATTTATATAATTATGTCTTATTTGACACCTGTCTCTTGCTGTCTTTTTTGTTACTTATTTAGAATTATTTTACCATTTATATTGTTGCTCTTTGTTATTATAATAAATTGTGATGTTTGAGCTACTGTGTCCAAATAATTTCCCTTGTGACTCAATAAGGTTTGTCTAAGTCTAAGTCTAATTTTATTTATTCATTTTACAGAAATCCAGATGGTTCAAAGATGCCGTGGTGCTTCTACCGAAAAGGCCGCAAACTCTGGTGGGACTACTGTGATGTAAGACACTGTGACGATCCAACAGGTGAGGCTCCTAATAACTATTTTATTAACTCACTTATTAACCAAATTCACCTCTAAATATAAAATTAGTGCTGTCATGCGATTAAAAAAATTGAGAGATTAATTAATTATGATCTGTAATTAATTAACCTAATTAATCTCATTTTAATCTCACCTAAAAATTGCTGAGAAAAGCCTTCAATTTGAGGTATTTTCATTTAAATTCATTATTACATTATTGTGGCAGATCAAAAGACTGATATAGAACAAAAAAAGTGACTTTATAAAGTCATTTATTGTTTAACAAATCTCTCCAAATTGTCTGTTGAGCCCAAGTCTCCATGAATAAGAAACTGTTTGCTGTAAAGCAGCAAAGACGAGGAAATCTGAACATAATAACCTTTGTCTACTTAAAGACAATAAAAAGTCCAGTCTTTCCTTAACCATATTAAAAATATTATTGATAGAGAAATGCTGTATATATGAGATCACTGGTTTTAGTCCTTGTTTTAGTCCTGGTTTAGACCTGCTTTAGTCCTAGTTTAGTCCTGGAATGGATTAATCCTGTTTTAGTCCTGGTGTTCTGGTTCAGACCTGGTTTAGTTCTGGTTTTAGTTCTGGTTTATTCCTGGTTTAGACCTGGTTTTAGTTCTGGTTTTAGTTCTGGTTTTAGTTCTGGTTTAGTCCTGGTTTAGTCCTGGTTTAGTCCTGGTTTAGACCTGGTTTAGACCTGGTTTTAGTTCTGGTTTTAGTTCTGGTTTAGTCCTGGACTGGTTTAGTCCTGGTTTAGTCCTGGTTTTAGTCTTGGTGTTAGTTCTGGTTTAGAGGCGCACAGGAGGAAGCGCGGTTTACGCCGCGTACGCGAGAAAACACGATCCACACGCGGCGCACGGGAGCACGTCGGTGTCCGCGCAGTAACTACGGAAGGAAACGTGGTCCGCGCGTTCTCAGGTTAATGACGATGATGAAGGTGTGTGTTTGTGTGTGTGTTTGTGTGTGTTTGTGTGTGTGTGTGTGTGTGTGTGTGTGTGTGTGTGTGTGTGTGTGTGTGTGTGTGTGTTTGTGTGCATGTCCCCTCATGTGGCAGGTCACTATAGGACAGTAGTGCAGACATCATGAGCCTATGCAGGTTGTTTTCACCAGTGACATTTAAGTTGTAGGCGATATTATATTTGTTATTTTCTTTTATATTTCACGTCGGGAGAATAATTTCCAAGACACGAATGTGTTTTTACCAGTGCACTGCTGACTCTGTTCTACTGGCTCTTCGACTTCGTCCATTGTGCGACTGACGCCGCCAGCGTTAACATAATGTTCACATCGCTCTTACTGCGCGCGTTTTGTGTGGGTTTCCGGCAATGAGTGGAATTACCGAAATAAAAAAAAATTATAAATGTGTTTTTTTTGTGTGTGTGTGTGTGTGTGTTGTCCCAACACATAAAAACAGGTTTTATAAAAAAGCAACTCGCATACAGAAACAGTAAAGTTAGAGATTAAAAATGAGATTAACGCGATTAAAAAACATAATGCGCTAAATATGACTGTAATTAATTAATCGCAATTAACGCGATAATTTGACACCCCTATATAAAATATGACTTTATTCATCCCAAAGTGAATTCTTGTGCCAGAGAGGCCATTAAGATATAAAAAACACAATTAATTAATCTTTTTAGCTTTTATATTGTACAAAATAGCATTAGTTGTTTTTGTTTTTTAGATGAACCATCTACAGCTGAACCCACACACCAGCCCGATCCTACGCACCACGCCCCAACCTCACCTGGGCCAACAGAAGAACCAGCACCAGGTCCCACTCAGCCTGCGCCACCTGTTTCCACCACCCATGCCCATGAACCTACCCATGGACCTACCGCTACCCATGGACCTACCGCTACCCATGAACCTACCCATGGACCTACCGCTACCCATGAACCTACCGCTGCCCATGAACCTACCGCTGCCCATGAACCTACCGCTGCCCATGAACCTACTGCTGCCCCAGGATCTACTGCTGCCCCTGGTTCTACCCCTGCCCCACACACCCCAAGCCCCACTAATGCCACCACCAATGAAACTGCACAGTTCAAGACGTGCGGACGCCCAGAGCCTAAAAAACCCATCACTCGTATCTTTGGGGGTCTTAAAGTGCCGCCTGGTGCCCTGCCATGGCAAGTGTCGGTACAAGTGAGGCCTCAGAACTCCAACGCGCCCTTCAGACACCTCTGTGGAGGAATCCTCATCGAGAGCTGCTGGGTGCTCACCGCTGGACACTGCATGTAAGTCAAGACTGTCACTGGATGTAAGTTTGGGCTTATCAGTTTAACAAGCAGTGGTGCCCCAGTATGCTTATTAAGAAAAACCTAGACCTCACTTAAATCCTTCCCGCACCAACATGTCATAGTAATAAACTTACAATTATTTAGACAAATATACAGCATATATAATTGTAGGGTTTATGGTACAGTTTGCCATAATTAGGAGAGATATATATATATATATATGTTTATGTTACAACAGTCACAAAAATCGGGACATGCAGGTGGTTTTGGGAAGCAATGACCTCTCCTCAGAAGAGTCCAGTCAGCAGACGTTACCTGTGGAGGAAGCCATTCTGCATGAGAACTACAACGAGAAGCCATACGCTGTTTACAATGACATAGGCAAGTCATTTACAAAGTATTTTTAAATCAAACAGCAGCATGATATGACTGATTATGAGACACACACAAGGTGAATGCTATGCCTTTGTTGTTAAAAGTACTTGTGTATTCACAGGTTTGCTGCGTCTGCAAGGTCATAATGGAGTATGTGCTGAAGAGTCTCAGTTTGTGAAGACGGCCTGTCTCCCAGAAGCCCCACTGCCTGATGGGACGGAGTGCACCATTTCAGGATGGGGTGCCACAGAGAATGGTAAAGACTCTGGACAAATTCGACTACAAATAAGAATCTTATGTTCACAAAATAATAGTGCATTAGAAATTTTTAAATATTTTGGCATATAACTGGGCGGCAGTAGCTCAGTAGGTAGAGCATTTGCCCACCGATCTGAAGGTTGGCGGTTTGAATCCGGCTCTTGACATAAACATCACAGGTTGAGCGGTCAGATCCACTGACCCACAGGTTGGCTGGTGTGATTCCAGCTCCCACAGATGAATGCTGTCATTTTGTCCTTGGGCAAGACACTTAACCCACCTTGCCCACAGTGTCTGCGTACACTGGTGTGTGAATGGGTGAGTGGTTCCTTGTTGTAAAGCGCTTTGAGTGCCTTGAAGGTGGAAAAGCGCTATAGAAAAATGTGACCATTTACCAATAAGCTACATGGAATTGATTGGCAGCTCATACTGATGATGGATGGTTGTCTCAGAATGTTATATTATTTCTTATTTAAGCAAAAACTGTATAAGTATTATGACTTAAAACCAGAGGAGATTAGATTAGATTTATATTCTCAGTTTAAAATTGTCTTGTGTTTTTCCTCCACAAGACACTTTGATGCAGCAGTATTTTTACCGAGCTACACAATTCTCATCACCTGTTTAGATGCTGTTAATAAGCCTACATGGACATGATGCTGGCATTGTGAATAATGCATACTTTAGCATTTGAGAGCCTTGTGCGTTGTTAAGCATATCAAACAGCTGTACTGGTGTAAATGCATATGCCTGTTTTCTATTTATAGCGACCGGTTCTCAGCACCTGCTTGAGGCCAAAGTGCTGCTGATTAACCAAGACAAATGCTCGAAACCCGAAGTCTACGGTGCTGTCCTGGACAACGGCATGATGTGTGCTGGACACCTGCGGGGAGGGGTGGACTCCTGCCAGGTCAGTGGGGCATCTATGCTTTTAGGTCTATCTGAACTGTGTGTAAGCATTAAGCATATAGGACTGTTGCCAAAGCGATTAACTACGGAAGCCGGGAGAGCTCATAACAAACGCAAAAGCCGCAACAAATACAAATGCGAAAACACAAATGCAAACACCACAAGACAACAAAAAGCCACAACACACCAAAAAGCGACAACGGAACTGGCTGTGGGACTCTATTTTAATGCAAACACCGCAACAAATACAGATGCTACAACACAAATGCAAATGCCACACACCAAAAAAACCCCACAACAAACCAAAAAAACCCACAACACATCAAAAAATAAGCCACAACGGAACTGACTGCAGGACTCTATTTTAATGCAAATGCCGCAAGAAATACAGACACCACAACACAAATGCAAACTCCACATACCAAGAAAAAAAAAAAAAAAGCCACAACACACCAACAAAAACACAAAGGAAGTGACTGTGAGACACTATTTTCCGACACACCAAGCGATGGCCAGACAGTCTCCATTCCTTTACTTTTCACATTCTTGTTCTTCAACTTTTCACATTCTCTTCCCGCTTGATCCTTTAACGCTTCACTTGGTCCGTCGGAAAATAGAGTCCCATGGACACTTCCATTGTGGCCTTTTGTTGTGTTGTTGCATTTGCATTTGTGTTGTGGAGTTTGTATTTGTTGCGACGTTTGCATTAAAATAGAGTCCCGTGGTCACTTCCGTTGTGGCTTTTTTGGTTTGGTGTGGCTTTTTGTTGTGTTATCGGATCTGTATTTGTTGCGGTGTTTGCGTTTGTCATGAGCCCTCTTGACTTCCATAATTAACAATTTAAAACAGAATAAGATATTGTTTGAGTGGGAAAAATTCCTCAAAATGTTGCATCTAACAAGAGTCTGAAACCGATGACTGATAGAAGTACACAAAAATGAAGCAGTCAGTTAATGAATTGGGCTATTACTAAACATAGATTATATGAGTGGACAGACAAAGAGTGACATCACCCTTATCATTCGCCTCTACACAATTGAAGCCAGAGGACCACAGCCCATAAGCCACTGTTGAACTTTTACAGTCAAATTTCCTAATTTCCCAACATGGCAACTCCTACATATTATTTATACACATTGGTTTACAGTTGCTACCATATTCATAGGTAATAATTAATGATGTAACAATAACCGAAATATCGTGATATCGTATCGTCAAAGTTCTCCCAATAATATCGGGGACCATCACAATATCACAATATATAATCGAATTACAAGTCTCTTTGCTTAAATTAATTATTATGGTGCAGCAATAGTTAAAAAAAAACTACATAGGAAACTACATAGACCATGATCCTTTGCTCCATTTCAGTGTAGACAACAAGAAGAAATAACAGTTCTAAGCACTTTTAAGTCTTTGTTCTTTGGATTAAGTCTTGTCAAGGCATTTTAAGAGGAAAAAGTAGCATATTCACAGTTTTATCTGTTTAGCCTCCACAAAACACCGCAATAAATATTACTGTGAGATGTATATTGTGAATTGGATTGTTACATCCCTAATCGTGAGCTTTCCCATGATATCGCAATAAATATCATACCGTGAGTTTCATATAATAATGATATTGTATCGTGAGACTTGGATATCATTACATTCCTAGTAATAATACAACTATAACACTAAGTCCTGTCAAGCATCATATCATTGTTACACAGTCTTCCTATGACCTCTTGTATAAAGCTGTGATTTTATATTTTATTACTTATCTTTCTATTTTATTTTGACTTGTACATTTACATTTACATATTTTTGTTTTATTTCACACCTGTCTCTTGCTATCTTTTTTGCTACTTATTTAAAATTTATTATTACCATTTATATTTCTGCTCTTTGTTATTATATTATATTGTGATGTGTGAGCTACTGTGTCCAAATAATTTCCCTTGTGGATCAATAAAGTTTGTCTAACTCTAAGTCTAAGTCTAAAACATATTTTCTTCAGTCCTCGTTAATATCCTTGTGTATTTCAGGGTGACTCTGGCGGCCCTTTGACCTGTGAAGAGAACAACGCTTTTGTAATTTATGGAGTAGTCTCCTGGGGCGACCAGTGTGGCAAGAAGAACAAGCCCGGGGTCTACACTCGCGTCACAAACTACCTGGATTGGATCAAGTCTAAGATCTCTGCTCCAGCCAAATAAGTCTAATGGGGTCAGGTTTAAGCCAAGGAATCGATGGGAGTTGTTAATATGAATGTGTGAGCGTTTTCAATCAAGATCATTTGGATTCACCTGCCATTTTGTTTTTCATTTGACCTTTCTAATAAATTCCAGTAAAATCATCTGTTTTTGAATTCAATTTCATTATAAACACTGGCTATGTTTATGTGCACATAAAATTAGTATTATCAGATTTCTAGAGATGTAAATCGCAAATCAGAAATTATCAGAAATAAATCAGACCGCTATGTTCAGATTGTTCAGCTCCATTCCAATAACTCCAGCAGTAACTTGATCATAATAAAAAACTTTTCTAATGGACCAGAATATAAAAATACATCAGCAGCAAAATGATTTGTCATGAATGCAAACAGGGCTAAAAGGAGAAACCAATGAGGTGAAGCCATGAGTGTGACTTGGCTAAAGATGAGATGAGGAGAGGTTTGCGATCTAGATAGTCACACGACATTTACAGATTCAAATAAAATGAACAGTTTACACCATTCCTCTTCTTTCTGGAGATTATTGATTGATTGTTTGTGCTGTGTCTTTTACTTGTGCCTTGGTTATGGCTAGTTTATCTGAATTTACTTCTCTCAATTGGTTTCTTTGTAGGAGAAATGCTGCAGATCTTGAAGCCCTTTTGGAGAGTCTTTGTGTAAGAGAAGTTGAAGAATGTCTCTGCTTGCATACAAGTCCTTATCACTCTTAATTTAAGTGACAGCTCCAGGGTCCAGTTAGAGCTGAAGGGAACTGGAAGGGGGGGTGGGGGAGTTTTTTTCCCCCCCCCAAACCATTTAAATATAACACTATAACACTATTTACCTGGGAGGCTCCATCTTCAGATTTGCCCCAAACTAATGAAAACAAGCTTTTTACCTTCTCCAGAGGACTGAAGCAAAGTGTTTCCTCTGTCCGCTGTCCCATTGGTTCTGTCTCCAAAAGTCTATTGTCCACAATGAAGAGATCAAACTGGTCCAAATCCTGGTCCGGTGAGGTTCGTGACAAGAGGTCCAAGAGCCGAGTGGACGAGCTGATTGTAAAATTGTCTTAATCTCACTTCCCACTTAAATCTGAAAGTTACACCAGTCCATATTTGCACAAGGACACCAGCTGGACTTATGCCCTCTGTGTGCTACGCCCAGTGAAACTTTTACATCGAGACATAAGCAGGCAGAGACGGACAGAGCAGCGAGCGACAGCCCCGGCCCTGGCAGTGAGTGGGTCCTGGCTGCGACAGGCTCTGGCAGCACATGGGCCCTGGGTCCCAGCGGCGGGTCTCTCCCCGCGCTTTACTGTGGAGAGGTTTAAGCTAATAGCTAGCCACCATTAGCCAGTGTGCGGATCAGAATAAGAGCCATAGTGTCTCACCGCAGCTCATTCCAGCTTAATGCTTATTTTCTTGTTCTTACTCCCTAAAACTGTTCCTCGGACTTACTTGTACGAACTCTCCATAACTGCACAGCACACAGCTCTGTTGTTATCATCATTAGCGCCTGTCGCAAGTAACATGCGTCAGTGCAGAGTCTGGACTGAGTGACAGAGCAGCTGAATCACAATAGGTCAAGATGTGTGTTCATGTTTATTCAGACCAATCACTTGATTTCAGGGCGCTCCGACCCTGCGCCCCAAAGATGTATTTTAGTGCTAATGTAAAGTAATGGGCAGAAGCAACGTCAGATTTTCTCAAAACTTCAGGCTCTTCCATAGACCTCCATTAGGTCGCACCGACTCACCGCACACATATTCCAAACACATGACTCAAAGAAAGTGATATGAGCACATTTAACGTGATAAAAAATCTGCCTATGCAGATACACGTTACATTTTAAACACAATATTAAACATATAGCCTAATACAAAATAACGACTTTATAATTTTTTTGGTTCTTTTTTTTATCGAGGTCAAGTTAGGGAGTGCGGCGCTCTTGTGCCCCTATTGACCAGCTGCAACTGTTTATAGTTAATAATTTGTTCATAGTTCCAAAGATGAATTAGTTCATTGTTCTTTTTTTTTCAATACATTGCTGCGAGCTATTAGGCCAAAATTATAAATATATATGAATAAATGTATTACATATAGGCTATATAATATCATAACGAATGCCAGAAACAGACAGTCATTTTGGTCACTATCGGGTGAACTGTATCTATCAGAGCACAACGCACAGCCAAGCGCAAACTTTACACAGCAGCACAACCTGATCCACCACTCACAACAATGTCAGCAAAACTACAATAAGAGGCTACGATCACAACACGAACAGACAGCATCAGCTCCGCTCCTACAGCACTCCACAAAACACCAGAGCAGCTCCGTTGCACGCACCAGCTCATTTACGCACTATTTACCTGTGAGGCTCCGTCCTCAGATTTGCCCCAAATTCACGAAAACAAGCCTCTTACCTTCTCCACAGGACAGAAGCAGAGTGTATCCTCTATCCACTGCATCCTGAAACCTGACTCTGTTTAGTTCTGACTCTGTTGATCTCAAGTCGAGATTTCATATGACAAATGTCACAGATCTATGGAGAGACTCCAAAGAGCTCTTTAAAGTCTATTCTCTGAGGCAAGAGATCAAGCGTTCTGGATCTGCAAGACAGAAGCAGAGTGTATCCTCTATCCACTGTCCCATTGGTTCTGTCTCCAAAAGTCTATTGTCCAATATAAAGAGATCAAACTACTCCATGTACAGACAAGACAGCAGCTCTGTCTGCAGGAGGCATGCGCAGAAGAGAGCCAAGTGTTTGTCTAATTTCGATGACGTATGCGGCGATGGTGCGTGCGCTGGTGGCTCATGTGGTGGCTCGTGTTGTTGCCAGATAGAATGTTGAATGCGGGGATTTGTGGTGACGCAATGGTGGCAGCCGAGAATCCGAAATGAGGAAAAAAGGTCAAAAATGAAGACGCATAACAGAGGTCCGGACAGAAGGTGACGACGAATATCGCCCCTAAAAATTTACAATTTACTTGGTTCTCAGGGATAAACAAAGTTACATTGATTGATTGATTTGAGTGTTATGTATTTGTATTCCAGGTCGACCCTTCAGATGGCCCCTCTCTGTACCCCAATGTGGAGGCAGTGGTGATTCGGTCCAACTTTAGATCTTTTTAGTCCTAGCTTATTCCTAGTTCAGTTTTGGTTCAGTTTAGTAGTGGTTCTTTTTCAACCCTGGTTCAGGACTCTTCCTATGGCCGTCACTATAGCCACATCAACAGTATCCATGGTTACTCTAGCTTCCTTTTATATCACATTCATTGTAACACTAAAATGTGATATCGTGACAACCCTCAGTGCAATGCAATGCTCTAATACATGGTCGTATTTGTGTTTTTGTGCAGAGAAGACCAGATGCTCCAGAAGAGGCCGATCCGAACAACCAAATCCCAGGCACATCTGAGCACTTATCTGCTTAAATCACTGTACTTTTAAGACATTTATGACATTTAGGTCTCTTTTTTTCTGTTTTGGAACATCCACAAAACATTTATCATATTTTTATGCCTTGAATAAGTTATACGTGGACTAGTTTTATATATATATATATATATATATATATATATATATATATATATATATATATATATATATATATATATATATATATATATGTTTTATTTATTTGTAAAGCATCTTTGAGTGATTATTGTTATTATTATTATTACTATATTGACTTTTATGATTTGTCCACTCCACCTGGTATTTAGGCACAGCACACCTCTTGTTCAGAACTCCATACCCCACGTCTGCACTCGCACTAAATCCAGAGGCGAGGTAAGACACAGTTTGTCAAAGCATGGACCTAGAAGTGAAGACATGTATGTCTTCTGGTCAACTGAGCAGAGCCACAGTGAGAGACTGTTCAGTCATGGGTCATTTATTTTCTGAACCAAATCAAGTCATTCATCAAAAGACTGCCAGAGGTATTCACAAGAACACAAGTAAATGCATCATCATACATCATCAATTACACTGCTGCCTTCTTGAAGAGGTATTTCTGGATGAACACATGCATTGGTTATTTTCCTGAAATGTCCTGCTTAAAGGTGTGCTATGTAACTTTTCTGATGTGTGTGTGCTGCCTGCTTGTTTTCATGGAAACGCTACTACTTTGCCTTGTATGTTCCACAGTATGGTATTAAATGTATCTTACTTGCAGGCATTCAGTTACAGGTGTCTATTATTGTTAAAAAATACATAGGAGAAAACGTTTTTGTTTACGTCCAGCTTTTCCACACTTGCGCAGAGGCTTGGTAGGCAAAAAGTCAGTGGGGCCGCTGGCTTGTGTTGACAGTTGTGTTGCGTATGTCTGTCATGAGGTAACTCATCTTATTTTGAAGTAAGTTGTGTATTTAATTGTTTTGACATTACTTCATCATCTTAGTCTAAAGTCACTGAATGCTGAGGATCAAAAACGTTACTTTGAAAAGTTAAAACTCGCCGATAACTGTGGACGATGTTGATGTTGTACACCGATAACTGTTGACGATGTTGATCTTGTATACTGATAACTGTTGACGATGTTGATGTTGTACACCGATAACTGTTGACGATGTTGATCTTGTACACTGATAACTGTTGACGATGTTGATGTTGTACACCGATAACTGTTGACGATGTTGATCTTGTACACTGATAACTGTTGACGATGTTGATGTTGACTTGTTGAGATGCTTTTTGCCTACCAAAATGGCTGCTGCCCCAGATTTGATGTCACTTGTGTTTTCTCAGTATTGACAAAGTACAGTACGTATTCTCACCCTGGACTGTATTTATAAGCTGGTGCGTTCTTTAAAGTCTATGGCTCTTATTGAGCTGACCTTCATAGATCTGACCTATAACTTGCTGGACATGGATGATTTTAATGCCATAATATAGTGACGAACATTCCAGGCATAGCAATTAACCAGAAAAGTTACATGCATCTTTAAATGTACTGCTTATTTTGACCTTGAAACACCATGCAAAATCATTCAGTAATTTCTTGATTTATGTATTTTTCTATATTCTCCTCTGTGTTTTCATACCAGTCCCACGGCTCTTTGATCCAGAACAGTGTCAGGGGCTGCTTGTTGAGCCCATTCACGTCTATGCACGGGTTAAACATGGGATACATGGGCTCTTTGCACTGCACTGTAAACGAGTGAATCAAGGACATTGCGTTTGCGTCGTAGAACAAGAGCTCCCCCTTGTGGAGATCTGCGAAAATGCCCAATTTTTTCACCCTGTTTTCCACAGATAGGGGCTTCTCTTCTGTGTCGTGGCAGGCCAAATATTGACCATCAGCGTGATAGATGCACCAGGATGACTTGTCCAAACCAATATTAGAATTGCTTGTGAATCCATTATTTTTTGGAGTGGGCTCAGTTGTGGCTCCAATTAGCCAATAAGGTTTATCTTGTACAATCACTTCCCAATAATGCCGTCCCTTTGTGAAACTTTCTTCAGCTAAAACGCTATACTGAGAATCATACGGCCTACTACTATTTGTAATAACAATCGGTGGTTGTTCACGCCAACAAACTTGCCTTTTGTCCTGGGATATCTCCAATTTGGGATGGGCGGTTTTAAAGTCCAAAGCTGGGGAACTTAGATCTGTAAAGAAATCAATATTATTTACACAGTAAATAGTTTATTTTAGATAGCGGAGTATTTGAATGATGCACTAACATGACCACGTTCTTGGAAAGTATTGGGACAGTGACATAGAGAGGTCGTCCACCATTCGCTCCACTGTCCTCAGTTTCTCAGGCTCACACAGGGACTGGTCCACTGTCTGCAGAGGAGGGAGATCCAGGGGGTCACTGCAATTAGATAAATATAATGTAGTAACGGCAAAGGCATAAAAATGAAAAGTGAATGAGAGGACTTACCAAAGACTTTGAGCTGTTATTTGCTGTGAAAATTAAATCATGATAATGAGTTGATCACAATGTGAAGAAATGGACAAAGTGTACTAAATCACTTTTTTGTTGGAGGATCCACCACTTTTTTTTTTTTTTTTTTTTTGCTTTGCCTAAAATATTCAACAGAATGGTATTAAATTTACCAGCTTATCAGGTGGTCCCAGCAGGCTAAGTTACAGGTCAGATGTGATAGAGAGGGAGAGGTGAGACAGAGAAGTTAAATGCCTTACTGCAGAACATTCCAGGCAAAGCATTTTCAATGAATACAAGGAGGTGGTGCATCATCCACCAGAAAATATACATACTACCTTTTTTATTTCAGCTCCTCAAGTAAAAATGAATTTTAAACAATTATATACTAATATCTCTCCTATTGTAAGTGCTTTGTAACATCTAACTTTAAAAATGTTAACAATACATAACAAAACATTGAAAAAAGTGACAAAACAATTTTGTCTTTACACAACAACCTCAGAACAATATATATTTATCAGATAAAAATCTATCCATCAAAAATCAAAATCAAAAATAAGGTTTTGTGTCTCCATGATGCAGAAGCAATGCAAAATTGGACATAAACAAAAAATAAAAAGCAATGAACAATAAAATAAAACCATAATATTGGAACATGTTATCTGTACATTTTATGTCTCCTACATACTTCTTATCCGAAATACCTGGAGGAACCTGAGGTGGTTGTCCTCGTGCAGTAGTGTTTTGGTTGAAGCTCTGAGTTGGTCGATGTCTTGTATCTCCTGCTCCATCGTCTCCCTCTGAGCGTCCAGCCACTCGGTCACACAGGCCTCCTCTGCATCCACAATCTGCTTCATTAAACGCTCGTCCCCGTCCAGGACCACATGCAGACGGCTGTACTTGTCTGATATACGCTCCCGCAGGTCTGCAGCGCACTTCTGGAAATGATGAGATTCACTTTCAGCATTTTAAAGTTGCACTTTAGGTCAGGTTTGGCCCCTGGTTTACTCCCAATTTTGATATAGTGTGTGTCAGTGTGAACTTGGTGGTATTGTCAAAAATGTCATATCTCAGTATTGTAGTATCCTGATAACAGTATTCAGATGATATTATGTCAGTCTAACAGAAATGTGTTTTCAAAGGACTGTATAATTACCCAAAAAAGTATCTAAATACGTTCTAACTTACACTTTATAAGTTTACAACATGCATTTTACCCCATTTAAATTAATCAGTATTTTTTTGCTGTGTTTATTATTATAGAATGTGCTTGATATTGAAATATTGCTTATCTTTAAAAAAAAAAAAAAATCACAATATTTTGATTATTTACCCACTTCTATTGTGAACACAGACTAAACAACAACTGTATAGAACCCTGTCTCTTATCAAAGTTTTGTACAGATTTTCTAGTGTTGTTCAATGTAAGTGTCAAATGGACCAGTTTAGCACTTTCTAACAAAATCACACCAGATTAACACAGATCACCACACTCATAAAATGTGTGAAATGAATGTGACAGAACAGCTGTAGATGTGACATTGCAGTAAAAAGTGATTATCTAGTTGTTCATACAAACAGGATATGTATAAACAATATGTAATACCATATGTGAAATCCTACCACTGTTTGTCTGTAGAGAGACTCCAACTCTTTGATTGTATTTTCCGCATCATTTTTCCTCTTCAAAAGCTGATGCATTGAACTCTCCAGCATAGTCTACAGACAAGCACAATCCATTAATCTTACAACTAGGGATGTAACAATAACCAAAATATCGTGATATCGTATTGTCAAAGTTCTCACAATAATATCATGGACCATCACAATATATCAAATTACAAGTCTCTTTGCTTAAATTAAGAGTTATGGTGCAGCAATAGTTTAAAGACAGAGGGAACTACATAGACCATGATCCTTTGCTCCATTTCAGTGCAAACTACATGAAAAAATAACAGTTCTAAGCAATTAGTTCTTTGGATTAAGTCTTCTCAAGGCATTTTAAGAAGAAAAAGTACATTTTTATATCGCAATAAATATTGTACCGTGAGATGTATATTGTGAAAATATTGCATAAATATCGTAAAAGATTTGGATATTGTTACATCCCTCACCATATTACAGCCTCCTCATCATATGGTGAGCTTTCTGCAATATCGCAATAACTATCATACCATGAGGTTCATACCATGATGATATCGTATCGTGAGACTTGGTTATCGTTACATCCCCTACTTACAACTATAAAAATATGATAAATAACCATAACAAAATCATATTAATATGGTCATCAAATTAGCCATCACTATATTCACATCTAGCATAAATGTACAAACAATCTCACGGTGGACATTGTTTCCGACAACCTCATCGAACTGTCTACTATCTCTCTAATGCATTAATAATAAAGAAATAAATTAAGGAGTTGTAAAGTACTCCGTTTTGCCCTAAACCAAAAATTTGATATTCATATTTAAGTTCACTAGGTAATAAACAAAATACTTGAGAGAACTAAATTGTGTCAGAATAAAAAAATTCTTGTTAATGGTACAACCTGTTAGATAAACTGTCCTTTCCTTTCCTTTTAAATGTTTAAATGACCTTTTACTCATAACTGGTCTTTACCTTGAAATCATCACACGCTTCATGTAGCTGCGGTGCCTTATGATTCTTGTGCTTTCCCACCAGCACACACAGGCAGCAGACTGGGACTCTATCCTGTGAACAGAACAGCTTCAGCTCGTCCCTGTGTTCCTGACATTTCAGAGACAGGGGGTCCCGCGTCACCTCCACCAACGTGTGCTGCTTTAGGGCCGATCTCTGCTCATGGAGGAGGGAGTGAGCCTGGCACAGAGATGCATCACACGTTAGACAAGTCCTGACCGCTACTGAAGGAGACTCAATACAGTGGTCACAGTAGATAGCTGGAGAATTGGTCGTCCTTTCCTCTGAATTTGCTAAATCCTTAACTTTGTCTTGAAGATATGCGTTGATTTCCAAATTAGGTTTTGAAGGAAGTAGGATCTGGCATTCAGGACAAAAATACGGTCCTGCCTCTGAACCTTCATTGTCCCAAACAGTGTTGATACAGCTGAGGCAAAAGTTATGCCTGCAGTCCAGTGATACCGGGTCAGTAAATAAATCTTGGCAAACGGGACACTTTAAAATCTCCTCCATGGCTCCTCCGGCAGCTGGTGTAGAGGCGTTTAGTGAGAGCGAGTTTGGATGTAGGGTTCTCCTTCTTCATGAAAGTTTGATGGGGCACTGGCCTAAACATGAGTGTCCCAGGGAGTCAAGTTACTAAAGATGAGTAGATATTCCGCTCCAAAACACAAGCACCTGCAATAGGAGAATGACCATATAACAATCAGGTTTAGGGAGACTGAGTTTCTAATTTGCTTTAATAAATGCAACAGTATTACATTTAAGAAACTTCAGTTAGGACAATATTGAAAGCTACACATGAAAAAAGATATGGACAGGATTAAGTAAGTAGTGACCTACAATACAAAAGGCATAAGTATAATATAAAACTGTGGAAAAGTACATATTGTGTTGATATCAAATGTAATATTTCCAACAACACAAGAAAATTACCGTGTTTATGTATTTATTTTATATTTTTAGATTAAACCACTCATATAATACTAGGCCAGACATGTTGCAAAACCATATGCATTAAATACTGGAAATTAAATCATTCTTTACATGGTATCGTCTGTGAATTGCTTATTTTATGATTGTTAAAAGAAACCTTATAGAACAGAGGAACTGAAGTTATTAAGTTCAGTAAATGGATTCTGTGTGTGCCAAAGCATGAGCAAAAGTCACAATATCTACCAAAACTGGTTTCCTGCCGTCTGTAAAAGGTAGGATGACCAGATTGGTATAAATAAAATTGTGAAAAGAGCATGTAAGATTATGCATTGTCAGTCAAAATCTGAGGGATTTCTGTCACTGCATTTTTTTGCTTTATGGTCATTCGCAAACATGGATTTCTGTATTTTGGCTAAACAAATTACAATTTATGCTCCTCTTCACTGTTGGCAGGGATCAGATTAGTCAAAAATTGTCATAGTCCTGTTGTAATCCTGGTTTAGCCCTGATGTAGTCTTGGTTTAGATCAGATTGGTCAAAAATAGGGATACCTGGGACATGTCTTGTATTAAACCGGGACAAATCTCTGCTTTTGTATGAATCTGATGAAACAGGGGACAAAGGGCTCAAAACTGGGACTGTCCCGGGTAAATAAGGACGTGTAGTAAAAAGGAGCAGCAGACTCCCACTTCTATAACACAGACACAAGCTGATATTATGCAACTTTTAATCTTACATGTAAGGTGAAACTTACCTTATACCAAGCCAAAATTATCCAAAATTAGCCAAAACACACACAAAAAAAAAAAAAGAACTCTTTTTATTTTTGTTCATACACCCCCGCGTCCACAGGGGGCAGTAGCGTGTATTAAAGCAGGGAGCTCTTTCATCAGAAACAGGACCCAACGTGGGCTGTGGATGTGGCAGCCCCCCGTCCTGTTCTGTCCTCCTGAATACGTGTCCCTGCTCTCCTCCAAAAGTTTATAGGCTGATTCCTCTCTCCTCACAAGCACAGGTACGAGCTATTTATGCTATGTTCACTGCACACTCAAAACACTGCAAATGCGGCGTTATATTTAGCTCAACGCAGCGCTAGAGCTAATGCTAACTAGCACCACCTGTATGTTTTGGTTTGTGTGGCCATGATTTTGACTCAGCTCTGATCTAAACCAGTAATTTGGACTTGACCGATAGATTTCAAAATGAACCTTACTGTGGAAACTGTCTATCTACTGATTATATCTAAAAACATCGTGTGAGTTATGCCAGTTTTGGCGCGAATGTACAGTGGTTGCAGAAGAACAATATTGTGACCACATTTTCAGAATTAAAACTGAGACAATCCCGGTTTGTGGTGGTTGTTAATAATAAAATTGTGAAACGAGTGCGTAATTAAGGAAAATTGTTCTGCACTCGGCCCCATAGCCACCTTTTCTTCGTGTTTTGATCTTTTGTAAGCAGCTTTTCTGTAGTTTACCTCAACAAATGACAAGTTATGCCTCTCTTTACTGCTGGAAGGCATCAAATTGGTCAAAAATGGGGACACTTGGACATGTCTTGCTTAAAACTGGGACAAATCATTGGTTTTGGATAAATCTGGGACAGAGGACACTGGGCTTCAAACTGGGACTGTCCCTGGTAAATAGGGACGTCTGGTCACCTTAACCAATAACACAAAAACACATTCTTTAAATCTAATTCAGTGACTATAGATACGCTGTAATATGTTTTTTGTTAAACAAATTTAGGCCCAAGAATGCAAATTATCCACAGATAACAGAAACCCACCATATCTTATTTAATTGTACACTTGAAGAAATGGTATTTAGCTAAAACACTATTTTACACTCAGACTTTTGATATTTTTAAATACATTGTTGTTGTAAAGGTTATAAACGGTAGTATTGCCGTCTAGGTCAGTGGGTCAAGTTTATCAGCAAGGATTATGTGGACAGACGAGTAACAGAAACACAGTGCATTCTTGTGGGTTTCTACAGCAGATTTTTATTGCTTGGTTTATAGGCCTGTCGCCAAAATTACAATATCGATTTATCATTCAGCATATAAAAGTTGGAACAATATATTTTTGGGGCTCAAAATTGATCATGTCTACAATTTCTTTACAATTGTGGGAGAAGTTTTCTTATTTTGTATATAAACAAAAAAACTTGAGCAGATACTGTATATTTAAAAATCGCTTATTGGAATTATCCAGTTTTATTGTTATCGTATCCGTGGCATAAGGTAGTTTCCATATTATCGTTTAGTGCAATACCTCTCTGTAGTGATATAGCGTGTTTCAAAATTTGTTATCGTGACAGGTCTATTGGTTTACATCATCCTTATAATACTGCACACGTTGTTTATTATTATTGTCCAGAGATCTTGGTGCCATGTTTACTCGACTGGCCTTGTGCTCCCGGCTGCCATCAAGAGCCCGGAAACAGGTTTGTCCAGTGCCCATCAGAGCTTTCTCACAAACCAAATGTAAGTAACAAAAATAAAGAATAATTAACATTTGTACATACATCTCTACATTAAGATTACATTCATATATTTTTACTTTTTGCTAGTTCCCCTCCCCCGCCCTCATGGGAAGTCCTTTGCCCACCGTAGTGAGCTGAAGCAGGCCAAGCGCATTGTAGTGAAGCTGGGCAGTGCTGTGGTCACTCGAGGAGATGAGTGTGGGCTGGCACTGGGCAGACTGGCCTCTATTGTAGAACAGGTAAAATAATACATCATACATGCCACACAGTGAATGATTCTTGTAAATGTAATTAACAGATAAAATGGAATAGCTTTAAAAATGTTGGTTTGTACTTATGTATAAGCTATAGTGTGGTTTATATGTTTCATACACTATGAAACATGTATTTCTCTGCTCTAGTAATATGGAGAAAAGCATGTCACCACTCTTATGAGACAATGCTTATTAGTAGAGTACAGAGAAATGGTCTTTATGTTTAGTTTGGATAAAATGTAGACCTGCTGAAAATGTTCCGATCACAGTATCAGCCAATGCAATATTTGTTCATCTATGAATAAAGTAATGATATCAGGATAATGCAAAGATTTCTTGTGACTTAGGTTGCAATCCCCCTTGTTCTGGTTTGATCCTGGAATAGTCCTAGTCCTAGTATTGTCCAGTTTAATGCCATGTGTAGTCCAAGATAGTTCCTTTTTTTTTTTTTTTTTTTTTTTTTTATATATATAAAGTGTGCAAGTGTAATATGAATGTCTTGTGTTACTTTTAGGTGGCCATGCTGCAGAATCAGGGACGGGAGATGATGATTGTCACAAGTGGAGCTGTGGCATTTGGAAGGCAGAGACTGAGGCATGAAATTCTCCTGTCTCAAAGTGTCAGACAAGCTTTACATTCAGGGCAGAACCAACTCAAAGAAATGGTGAGGTTTAATCACGTTTTGTTTTAATGGTCGGTTGTCATACTCTACCATAGTATTCATGTTTGATTATGTGTTTTGGTTTGTTTTGTTCCAGTCGCTGCCAATGTTGGAGGCGAGGGCGTGTGCAGCTGCCGGACAGAGCGGTCTTATGGCTCTGTATGAAGCCATGTTCACACAGTATAGCATCTGCACTGCACAAGTAAGGAACAATGACTGGAATCACTAATACAAATGCTATAAATACTATGAAACAAATAGTAAATTGTATGTTTTTGTACTTATTCTCTTATATTTGTATGTTATTCTCACCAGCAAGACCTCTTCTCATAAAAAAAAAAAAAAAAAAGTATGTGCTGTATGTACTGTATGTACTGTTTCAAACTTTTTACAAATCCAATCAGGAGTTTATCTTAAATTGGATTGAAATTGATGTTATATGATTCATTTAAGCACAATTTAACCATATACATCAGTCGGATAAAATTGTCCTAATGCAAAATGCACATCCTAATAGTTAACAGTAAAAATGTTATGATGCCTGGATTTTTTTCTTTAATAATGTAAACTATTCTTTGTCAGATTTTGGTGACCAACTTGGACTTTCACGACGAGCAGAAGAGGCGTAACCTGAACAGCACCCTCCAGGAGCTGCTGCGGATGAACATCGTCCCGATCATCAACACCAACGACGCAGTGGTGCCTCCCCCTGTGCCCAGCAGTGACATGCAGGGGGTAAATGTGGGTACTGTGTGAAGGGCATGCTGGGAATGCTGTATGTGCTCCACTGTGGTGTCCTGGTAACGGTGTGCATGTTTTTTCTCTAACACTATGGTAGTCTGGTTTCGATTAAGTTATTTTTTGTACTATATTGATGCCTAAAACACCACTAATTAGGGCACCACAATATATCATGATTCAATTAAAATCTCAGTTTTCAAATAGCAAGGCTGTAACTGTGGTCTAAATAATCACAATACAGCCAATTATTCACTGTTAATTAGGTCAAGTGATTAGTTAAATCTTTGTTTCTGTCTGTTAGAGGAATATAAATAAATATAGAAGTGGGTTTTATGTTAAGTTGGGTACATTGCTCAAAAAGAACAGGATGGAAAAAAGTATTAATGGAAAATGTTTCTCAGTTCATGTAAAAAGAGTATGTATTTTAATTTTACACTATACAATATACTGTTTATGAGCAGCATTATAATTACTTACAATATTCATGTGTTTATCTTTGTCAGTCTAACACGCAAGTGGGCTTTGTTTCCTGTGTTTTCACGTGTTGGAAATGGGTGAACATCCTCTTTGGCACAGCTTAACTGAAGGAGCCTTTTGAGCCGACTTCCTGTTTGTGTTTCAGGTCATAAGCATCAAAGATAACGACAGTCTGGCCGCACGCTTGGCTGTGGAGATGAAGGTGGACCTGCTGGTGGCTCTGTCTGATGTAGAAGGTAAAATGGAAATTAATGCTTGGCAATGATAACAGAGAACAACTGTAGATTTTAATGATTTAAATATCAGATAAATATTAACTGGATGACTAGATGCCATAAACTAAACTGCCATAAACTGCTTATAATTCAGCATTTACTAAATAATATTCCACTGTTTTTCAAGGTAAATCATTCACATTTTAATAATCATAATAATAAATCATAATTTCTGAAACTACTTAAATTACAGTGCTCAGCATAAATGAATTCACCCCCTTTGAAAAGTAACATTTTATAAATTTTATACATTTTAATATGTCAATGAACACAAAAAATATTAGCAAAATGTGCATGATGCTTCCATCACTTGGTGCCATTGGTTGTTGTGCACTTTTCCAACATGACAATGACCGTAAGCCTGACAGTGACCCTAAGCATACATCTAAGGTCACTGCTGCTTTCTGAAGAGGAACGGGGTGAGAGTGATTCCGTGACTAAGTGTGTCACCTGGTCTGAACCCATTTGAACATCTTTTGGGAATTCTGAAGAGACAAGGTGAGCATCACTCTCCATCCAACATCCAGTCTCTGAAAGAGGTCATTGTTGAAGAATGGAAAAAGAATGATGTTGCAAACTTGTTTATTCCATGCCTAGAAGACTTGAAGTGGTCATTAAAATTAATGGAGGCCATACAAAGTACTAGATGCAGTAGTTTTTGTTGTGGAGTGTACTCATTTTTGCACCACCCTAATCTGATTAGAATTGAAAATTATGTAATCCAAGTTATATTCCTAACCTTAGTTTTTTGTCATAAATTCAACAGATGCTATATTAAACTCTGTCTGGGCACATTTTGCAAATATTTTTTGTGTTCATTGACATATTGTATAAAATGTTATTTTTCAGAGGGGGTTAGTTTTCTCATTTATACTGAGAACTGTATGTCAGGGTAATGTTAATTTAATTTCTCTTATCCCACAGGTTTGTATGACAGACCTCCTGGCATCGATGATGCCAAACTTCTAGATATATTTTACCCTGGAGATCAGCAGTCCATCACATATGGTAATAAATCCAGAGTGGGGATTGGTGGCATGGAAGCAAAGGTCAGTTGAATCTTTAAATTACAAGATGCTTTATCACACATTAAATGTTGTTTTTCTAAGTGTAATAACCATTACAATATTTAATTTAAATTATGATGTAATTTGTTTAGGTTTTTTAATCGCATGTCTTTATGTGATAATTTTGACCCTTGAAGTTACTTGACCATGTATTTTCCTATATAAATTTGCACAAATACCTTTTGTATTTTTTGTGTAACAGGTTAAAGCTGCTCTGTGGGCACTGCAGGGTGGTACATCAGTCGTCATTGCCAATGGGACAGACCCAAAAGTCACGGGCCATGTGATCACAGACATCGTGGAGGGAAAGAAAGTGGGAACGTTCTTTTCTGAAGTGAAACCTGCAGGTCCCACTGTGGAGCAGCAGACGGAGATGGCCCGACATGCAGGGAGGACACTGGCCTCTCTGGATCCTGAACAGGTCTGTATACTCATTCATCTCCCTTTTAATTTGAAATAAATGATGATGGTTTCATAGTTGCCTTAATTTAGCGTTTCGTACACATATCCCTTTTTGTTAGCAAATTTCTTGTATATAAAATGTGCTATCCTTAAAGCAACACCCCCTAACTGGAGGTGGTGTGTCAACTGTATGATTGAAAATTGAACATTCTCCAAAAATAGAGGATTTATGCCATCCTACGAAATATTATAGTCGTAGAAAAAATGTTTGAATGGAGAAGAAGAAAAGAAAGAAGCAGGAGAAGCTTGTTAACAGTAAAGATGTAATGCAATACAAAAAATAAAATTTAATTTGTGTAATAAAAACATTAAAAAAGTTCTTTAAAAGCTCCCCCTACAATGCATTACCCTTAATTTACACTTATATGCACTCAAATAGCAAGTATCGTATATTGTATTTGCTATAGTGAATGCATTTGACAATTTTTATCTTTGTCTTTCAGAGAGCTGAGATTATTTGCTGTCTTGCTGAGCTGCTCACAGAAAAGAAGGAAGAGATTCTTAGTGCCAATAAGAAAGACATGGAATTGGCCCTAACATCAGGTACAGTTAAAATGTAATTTAATGTGTAGTCACCCCAGTGATTTAACATTTTCTGATTGTGTTAAATGTCTTTGTTTCATTCCAGGTCGTTTCTCCCAGGCCCTCATAAACCGCCTGAGTCTATCCACAGCTAAATTGAACAGTCTGGCCATTGGACTGCGTCAGTTGGCGGTGTCGTCCCGGGACAGTGTGGGCCGAGTGTTGAGGAGGACCAGAGTCGCCAACAATCTAGAGCTGGAGCAGATCACTGTCCCCATCGGAGTCCTGTTAGTCATCTTTGAGTCACGCCCCGACTGTCTACCCCAGGTCAGTATGAAACTATATTAAATAATGCCATTGTTTACAAAAATATCATATTAGGGGTGGGAGATGTATTGAAAAATTAATATTACAATTGCTGTTTTGGAGAAATGGAAAATTTTGAGTATTCGGTGTATCACCTATAGTTAAAACTATTAAAAATGAATAGACAGAAACATCTAGTGTGAGCTTTCATAAAAGGATGCATGTTATATTTCTATTTCTAGCCTCTTTGGTGTTTAATTTTAGTTTATTCATATTTTGGGCTAGACTTGAACCACACCCAAGGCATTTAGAGGCATTGTTAACAGATAATAAAACATATATTGAGATTTTGATTTTTATCCATATCGCCCTCACCTAAATCATATATTCATTTTTAAACTCTTACGTTAATTAGATGATAATTTGTAATCCTTAGACAGTAAAATTGAACAAGTGCAGATCTCATACTCTTTCAGAGGTTACACTGCAAGTCTTTCTTTTTATCATTATCTTTTTGTCTTTTGACAGTTTTCTTGTAATTATCAATATTCTCTGTGTCATTGCCCACCTGAAATTTTTTAGGTATCAGCTCTAGCAATTGCCAGTGGAAATGCTTTGCTCCTTAAAGGGGGTAAAGAGGCATCCAACACAAACAAAATCCTCCATCAACTTGTACAAGAAGCATTGTCCATTCACGGGGTAACAGATGCTGTACAACTGGTGAGTTCTGTACTACTGTCTATTTCATATTCATATTTCTTGTTTATTTAAGTTATGTTTGTTAAGTTATGTTATGTTTAATGGTTATTCAGGTAAGCACACGTGAAGAAGTTGAGGACCTCTGCAGACTGGACAAAATGATTGACCTGATTATTCCAAGAGGCTCGTCTCAGCTGGTGCGGGACATCCAAAGGGCAGCCAAAGGAATACCTGTCCTTGGCCACAGTGAGGGAGTCTGCCATGTTTATATTGACTCTGAGGCTAGCCTGGACAAAGCTATTGATGTTGGTATGTGAAACTCAACAGAAAAACATAATATTTTATCATATAGTCACTGGTATATTAATAGTGATAACTGTTGACTGATTTTTAGTACGAGACGCCAAATGTGACTATCCTGCTGCCTGCAACGCTATGGAGACACTCCTCATTCACAGAGATCTGCTCCGTACCCCAATGTTTGACCAGATCATTGATATGCTGCGAACAGAAGACGTAAGAATAGCTCAGAAAAAATAAACAAAAAACAAACTAGTATTCCAATATCTTTTTTACAATTATGATTGACACCCCAAAGTCAAAGGTGGATAATTATTTGTAATTACCAGTATTACATTTAATTGTTCTAGGTTTGTTTTACTACTCCTGTCAACCATTCTTACTCTAAACATAAATTATGCAATTAAGAAAACCACAAAGTTTAAACATTTGTAATTTAATTCCTTTAATTACATGCCCATCAGCCAGACACTAATTACTGTTTACCTACAGAAAGAAGGTTGACTCGAACTTAATACTCGTAATTGTTTACATGAGTTTCACTATTGTTTCCACAGGTGAAGATCCACGCTGGTCCCAGATTTGCTTCTTATCTGACCTTTAGCCCTTCAGAGGTCAAGTCTTTGAGGACGGAGTACGGAGACCTGGAGTGCTGTATCGAGGTGGTAGACAGTATGCAGGAGGCTATAGACCACATTCACAAATATGGCAGCTCGCACACAGATGTCATTATTACTGAAAATGGTGAGCAGTTTTGTTGCACTTCTAAATAGTTCTTCTTTTCATTAATTTTAATTAATATTTTTATTTGTGTTTTTACAGAGGAGACTGCTGAACAATTCTTGCAGCAGGTGGATAGTGCCTGTGTTTTCTGGAACGCAAGCTCGCGTTTTGCTGATGGATATCGCTTTGGACTTGGTACGTACAATCTAGTTTGAACAATGATTGGTCTTTGGGTATTATGGCATGTTTACTTGCACTTTTTTCAGGATAAACAAATGTTTACAAATAAAGACACTAGGGATGGGCATTCAGTTATTTTCTTAATCGATCAGTTATCGATTAATCATTAACGTTTTTACACTCAACTTTACAACATATAAACCATAAGCGCTATAGAGCCACATCAGCCAGTTTGAGATTATAATGTGTTAAATGCAGCTTTGCGCACATTTGTTTACATTTTGCATAATCTGTAAATGCTGAAAAACCAGCTGTCGGACTAAAGGACACATGGAATATGAGTGTTCTCTTTGTGACAGAGGGGTGTTGATGATGATGATGATGATGATGAGATGGTTCATGTTGTTAGAGATCATACGTGTGCAGGTTTAGTGCTATTCTTTAACAGTTATTTCACTCTATTATTTATTTTGGCCACTGTTGTGATGAAAAGACTGAAAAGTGTTTCTTTTGGACGCATGCGTATTATGTTGCAGTAAGCAGGATGCTGCGTTTACATGCACCAACGAAACTGGAAATAAAAATGAACGTGATCGACAAAATTCTTAATTACAGATTACTCAACTAATCATGCCCACCCCTAAAAGACACATATTAAAATGTTAAGTTATAATGTTAAGTTTCATTGTCATCAACATTAAAGTTTGCATAACGACTACTTGCTTGGTTCTGTAAACATGTATTGAGTAATTGTCTAGTTTAATTGAATAATTGAATTAAAAGAGGGTAGCGGATGGTCAAAGTTTTCTGAAACTTGTTTGTTTTGTACAGGAGCGGAGGTTGGCATCAGCACAGCAAGGATACATGCCCGAGGCCCTGTGGGACTAGAGGGGCTGCTCACGACCAAGTGGGTCCTGAGAGGAGAGGGTCACACTGTGGCTGACTTCTCTGAACAGGGCAGTATGAAATATCTCCATGAGAACATCCCTGTCCCACAAGGAAGCTTCAATTAGAGATCAACAAATGAAAAAGTTCTCATTTAAGTGCATTTGGTTTAATGTCTGTCTCAAAGGTTTGTGTCTATAGCACTTAAACAACCACTGCAGCAATGTACACACAAGCATTTTAGTCTCAGTAAAAAATCATATTAATAAGGGCAACATTTCTGTAAAAGTTTACCTCATTTGTGAAGAGAATCAATATGGTTTTGTTTCCAATATACAACACACTTCAACTCCCTTTTTTAGACGTGACTGGTACAAATGCTTTGGTGTTACTGAACAGAGGGGAAGGCCTGAGATATAAAGACAACATATGTTTTGGGTTCTACGGCTAAAGCACTTCCGTAAGACTGTATCAAACATTTTTATACCAAAAGAAAATACATTATTGGCCAACTGATAATTTTTAACTTATTTTTCTATATTTGCAGCGCTCTTTTTGTCAAGTGTAGTTTGTGCAGTACTTCATCCATTCTTATTGCTGTTCATTCTACTTTGCACAAATAGTTAAATAAATATGTACAGTTAAAATTGAAGTTTTCTCACTTTTTGTGTTTTCAAAATGATTACCTTGGAGGAAAACCCTTTTTTTTTTACTGTAGGCTCATTCACAAAGATGATTTATTTTAGTTCTTGAATGCTTATATTATGTTTAACACCAGAAAAAGAAAAGGACAAAGGACTTTGATGAAATGCTTTATGCTGTAAAATGTAACTTTTGAAGGCTGTAGTTGTAGTCTAAGCTAAGTTAGATTTATTTATGAATCATACATGAAGATTATTTTAGTTCTTGAATGATTATGATTATAGAAGAAAAGGGAGACCCGTCTAAGCTAAGTTAGATGTACAGTATGCAAGAACCACAAATGCATTGCACATGTAATGGCAATAGTATGCTCATATTTAATGAATATTTGCTATATTCTCCAGTAATACATTTAATTCTAGTTCAACAATCATATTTTGTAGTAATAGACTTTTTCTGCCAACTTTTTAGTTCCTAGTTTAGGGTGACCAGATTTTCAAAATCACAAACTGGGACACCCTCGGTTTGAGGTGGTTGATAATAATAAAATTGTGAAAAGAGTGCGTAATTAGGGAAATTTGTTTGGTACCCGGCCCATTCAGGACTAACATTTGTGTCAGTAAAGTCACATTTTCTTGTTTCTTGTGTTTTGGTAATTTTTAAGCACGATTTTCTTTCTTTTTTCACCTAAACAAATGACAATGCGCCTCTTTACTGTTGGCAGCAAATTGGTCAAAAATAGGGACACCTGAGACATTTCTTGTATAAAACTGGGACAAATCACTGGTTTTGGATAAATCTTGCAGGGACAGGGGACACAGGGCTCAAAACTGGGACTGTCACGGGAAAATGGGGACGTCTGGTCTACAGATTCTACTGCTCTTGTCCATTTACCCAACTTATTAAAAAAAATCATAAAAAATAAGATGAATAATACACAAATAAACAATACAATTAAGAACATGTAATCCAAAATATTACTTGGATATTTTACAACCAGCTGCACAGTCCTGCCCTTTAAAAAAAAAAAAAAAAACTTTAGTTATTACAGAAACAAAGGTATAAAGTGCAGATGGGATTGTTTTTATATCAATGCAAAGTCCAGTTCACAGTTATGACAGGAGTGGAGGGTGGAGAAAAATATATTATACTTACTTGCACACATACATAATTTAAAATCAAAACGAATCAGAAACAAAGTTGACATACATGTAAACTTAAATTTGAGGCAGATAATGTGTACAAAAAAAATCAATACAAGAAACCAAAGAAGTAGTTAAAAATAAAATTCTAATTCTTCTATAATTTAAGTGTTTTAATAGATTTAATGTTGGAAATATTTTTCAGTGTTAGAAGATCATTTTTGATGTCGAGTATGATGATTTTGAAAAGGGGTCTGGAATTGGAGAATTTGGATTTATGCATGTGAAATTTTCCTAACAGAATGAAGAGGTTTTACTAAATATTCAAGTCCTGCCCATTTTTTTTTATTTTTAGTTTTTTTTTTTCCCAAGTCCTGCCCATTTTTTTTTTTATATATATTTTAAGTTTTATTTTATTATATATATATATATATATATATATATATATTATATATATTATATATATATATATATTTTTTTTTTTTTTATTGAAAGAAAAAGTGTATACATACAGCCGTGTACAAAGAACTGTGATTACTATTCAAACATTGTATCATACAACATGTACAAATAAAATAAATAAAAAGTAAAGTAATAAAAAAGAAAGGAGGGGGAAATAAAAGAGGACAGGAAAGGGAGAAATGCTATACTTTCACACTAGGGGGGGGTCAGAGTTCAAGTGAAAACATTCATAGCTGTACAGATTTCTATATTCTCTAGTGCCTTCTGTTTCTTAGAAAATTTAATTGAAAGAATGTATTGTCTGAAACTATTGTAGAAAGCAACAAAGTTTGGCTTCCCAAGTCCTGCCCATGAGTCCTGCTGATCCAGGCGCGTGACGTAGGCCTGGTGGGCGGGGCTACGTGCTCAGAGTCACAGCTCCGAGGAAACACCGGGATCATTTAGCTGTCATTTCACCCAAAACATGGCCGAAAACAAGTCTTATACCATTGTGGAGTATTTCGGAGGTGACAGCGGATATCAGTGTGGCTACTGCAAAAATTCCGTGGGGAACTTTTCACATGGTAAGTGTCTGATCAAAGGAAATAAACATTGCTGGTTGCTAGCTAGCTACAAGATGCTAATACAGCAGCTAGCTCTAGTTTGGGATAGTAAGAGTTCTTCAAAGGTTTTAGCTACATCATTATGAGATTCGATCAAATTTTATTTTTGACTTTTCTGACATGTCTTTAAAAAAGATGACAGAATAAATTGTCTCTTTCAGCTCGATGATAAAATAATAAGATTGTGAAAAGAGCGTGTAACATTGTGCATTCTCGTGTCAGTCACAATCTAAGGGACATTTTTTGCTTTATGGTCATTTGTAAACACGGTTTTAGTTTTTTGGCTTAACAAATTACAATTTATGCTCCTCTTTGTTGTGTAGTGTTGGCAGGGATCGGATTAGTCAAAAATGTTGATAGTCCGATTGTAGTCTTGGTTTAGTCTTAGTTTAGTCCTGGTTTAGTGTTATTTTAGTCCTGTTTGAGTTCTGGTTTAGACCTGATATAGTCCTTGTTTTATCTCAGTTTCATCCTATTTTAGTCCTGGTTTAGACCTGATGTAGACCTGGTTTAATCTCAGTTTAATCTTTGTTTAGTCCTGGTTTAGTCTTAGTTTAGTCCTGGTTTAGTCTTAGTTTAGTCCTGGTTTAGTCTTATTTTAGTCCTGGTTTAGTCTTATTTTAGTCCTGTTTGAGTCCTGGTTTAGACTTGATATAGTCCTGGTTTTATCTCAGTTTAGTCCTGTTTTAGTCCTGGTTTAGATCTGATGTAGTCCTGGTTTAGTCTTAATTTAGTCCTGTTTTAGTTCTGCTTTAGACCTATTGTAGTCCTTGTTTAATCTCAGTTTAATCTTTGTTTAGTCCTGGTTTAGACCTGATATAGTCCTGGTTTTATCTCAGTTTAATCATTGTTTAGTTCTGGTTTAGACCTGATATAGTCCTGTTTTTTTTTTTTTATCTCAGTTTAATCCTGTTTTAGTCCTGGTTTAGACCTGATATAGTCCTGGTTTAATCTCAGTTTAATCTTTGTTTAGTCCTGGTTTAGATCTAATGTAGTCCTGCTTTAGTCTTAGTTTAGTCCTGTTTTAGTTCTGCTTTAGACCTGATGTAGTCCTGGTTTAATCTCAGTTTAGTCCTGGTTTAGACCTGGTTTAGATCAAATTGGTCCAAAATAGGGACACCTGGAACATTTCTTGTATAAAACTGGGACAAATCACTACTTTTGTATAAATCTGATGGGACATGGGACACAAGGCTCAAAACTGGGACTGTAAATAGGGACATCTGGTCACCCTATGTAGACTACTTTGAATGGATGGTCAGTCTAAAATCATAACTATTTACAAAGTAAACATGTAAACTTAATGACCAGAAGGAATCGGTTGTTATCTGCTTGTGGTGGGGTTTCCTGCCATTGTTAATATCAGTGAAACTGGACACTGCCTGGTCCTTTAACTGTAAACTTTAAACTTTGCTGGTGGGATATTTTGGTGGATCTGGTGCAACTGTATACATGTGCTTAGAAAGCATAAATATGAGAAGTTTCAACAAGGGCATGTTTACTGTAAGTGAGAACCACATGTAGCTGCGGTTGCCTTAATGTAATTTAAAACAACAAACAAAACTGGATGAACTTATACTGGTTTATATTAAGCCTATTATTATAATATAATAATAAAATGTTAATTAAAAAAAGTCAAGTTACAAGTTAGGTCTGTGGAAAGGAAAGCTCTCTCACAGTAACAATGCATGTAATTTTTGTGTGATTAAAAACACATCTGTATTATTATTATTATTATTATTAACAGTAAGAATAATAATACTATCATTTTATATAGCGCGTTTCACAGTAACACGAAGATGCTTTACATAGTTAAACAAGACAAACATATGCATTTTAATTGAATAAATGCAAGAACGGTGGAACATTTCAAGCAAAGCAATAACTTTTCTGTAGGAAAAAAAAACGTACAGTGGACCTCACACCTGAAAATTTACATAGAATAGCTTTAAAGGAGTTAAAGGAGCATTAACTATTGACATGGTTAGGAATTCATGGATTTGTGCGTTAAGTCTCAAAAGAACAGAATCATAAACGTCATAATTAAATAGTGTCTTATAAATATATTTCTAATATCTGCAACTGCCATTGTGATTGTGGCCAATAAAGGAGATCAGAATAACAATGGTGTATTTTAAGACGACATTTTTTGAGTTTATCCAAGGCAACCAACCCAATGGCTGTGAAAGAATAGTGACTCTTTTGACATATGGTTTTATATTTAAATGAATTTTGCCTCTTGTTGTGTTTTTCAACGACAGTGGACAGAAGAGTATCTTGGATGGCATACTGTCTTTAGATTGTATCTTTAATTAGGTGTCTGGCCTTCCTAATGTAGCAGTGAGGTAGAGCAGACTAGAGCAGTTGTCTAATCTAAGAAGAGGTAAGCTGCACATGTTACATCACCCAGAAGAGGAAGTCTGCACCTGCTCACCTGCTGCCAACTCTGATTAGAAGGTTACTCTTGTCCTTATTGGATCCTGGGTAAAGTGAATGTTTCCTGGCCTGGCACACTCACTGATCACTCTTAACTGCTTTCTAGTCTTAGCTTTCTAGTAGTATAACTTTGTAATATATTGTATGGGGGTATCATGGTATTGTATTGATACTAGGGATGTAACAATAACCGAAATACCGTGATATTATATCATCAGAAGTCTCACAATAATATCATGGGTTGTCACAACATATTGAATTTCAAGTCTTTTTGCTTAAATGCATTGTTACGGTGCAGCGATAGGTCAAAGAAACAGAGGGAACTACAAATACAAGAATTCTTTGCTCTATTTCAGCCCAATTTACATGATGAAATAACTGCTATTAAGCACTTTAAAATATTAACTCTATGGTTTATGACAGAACCAAAGGCTTGTCAAGGCATTTTTAAAGCAAAAAGTTGTATTCTCAATTTTGTTAGCGTCTACAAAAAATTGCAATATATTGTACTGTGACATGCATATCGTGAAAATATTGTACTAAGAAATTTGGAAATCGTTACATCCCTAATTGATAAAATTAAAATTAAATTTGTATGCAAGTTTTACCTGTTCACTGTATTGGACTAGTAAAATTAAATATAACATGTTTATTAAATAATTAGAATTTTTGTTCATATTGTGTTGACATTGGGATCAACTACCAAGATTTTTCATTGCTATCAAATCAAGTTAAATTTGTATTTTTGTATTGTGACACTTCTATCAACCAACTGACCAACAAATGATGAAGTAAAGAAGAGCCCTCCCTCATGTCCCTGAAACTGAATACAGTGTAATTATGTGTCTAATAGTAAGCTTCGTGGGGACCGTGCGTTTTCTGTTTCTGCCCCTCGGCTGTGGAACCATTTGCCATTACAGATTAGACAGGTCGAGTCTGTACCTGTTTTAAATCACTCCTAAAAACGCAAGTTTTTTCACTAGCTTTTAATAAGTGACATGTATATTTCTTGTTGAGTATATTACTGTTTTCTATGTTTTTTAGTAGCTGTATTGTATGTGTACCATATTTTTTCTTCTACTGCGATTGTCATTGTCTGTTCTGTGTTTGTGTACAGCACTTTGGCCTACTGTAAAGTTTTTAAAGTGCTTTATAAATAAATTTGGTATGGTATGGTATGGTTTGAGTGGAATCTACAGCAAGAATCAGATGTGAACTGTTTAATCTGATCTGCCAGTATCACTGCAGCTGCTGTGGCGCTGACGTCAGCACAGCCCTGTCGACCAGCTTTATTCTAATCGCTTATCATTATGATCTCAATTTGTTTGTTAACATAGTGCCTTGTCTAGTTACAGAATATCTAAGCAACACTGTGATTTTCAGTTTATTGTAAACTTGCGCACACAGCAGTTTATTGTTAATGTATTTTTTATTGATTGAAGTACATTTGAAGCACAGTGTCATGTTGCCTGAGGCCTGGTCAAACGCAGCAGTGGACTGAAAGATCAAAAAGTTTATTAGAGCCTGACAGTTCAAACGTTGGATTGTCATTAATACTATAATCTTTAACATTTTAAATTCAACTAAAGTTTACAAAATGACAAACATGACACTACCAGTCAAAGTTTGGACACTCTATCTCATCCACAGTTTTTTTTTATTTTTTTATTTTATTTTATTTTTATTTATTTATTTAGTTATTTTATTTTTACTACTTTCTACTTTCTACATACAAGACAGGAGACATCAAATATATGAAGCAAGATGTGTGGAATTATGTAGAAAAGAAAGCTACTTTGAAATAAAAAAGTTAAGATGTAGAAAGTAGTAAAAATAAAGAAACAATATTGACTGATAGTGTGCTTTATGATTTATCTGCTTTTAAAATGAACATTGACTATAACTTTTGGTAAAACTTTCTGTCATGTTTTTAGCATCGGCCTGTCTGTCTTATGTTATTTCTGAATCCACTCTGGAACATAAATCTAAATGTTGTTTCTATGATGTATGACCAACTCAACAATGATGGTGACCATATTCGAGCTTATTCTGTATCTTAGAACATTTAACTTCATGATATGAGTTAATGAGCATTTTTAGAGTTGTGGGAAATGAAGTCTAAACATAAACATTACAGTAGGGTGTTTTCACAGAGGCCTTAAAGTGCCGTGGGAACATGATCCATAGGGTGACTTTTTTTTTTTTTTTTTATGTCCGGTCTTGTTATATTTTTGATCAGCTTGCAAAAAAAAGTTCAACAAAATGTTAAATATTTTACAAAATGAAGAAATTAATTAAGATTTTTATATACTTTTTTTTTTTTTTTTTTTTTTTTTTTTTTTTTACAGGTATGTGGTCACACACAATGACAGTGCAGGATTATCAAGACCTTATAGACCGAGGATGGAGAAGGTATGTCTTGGTTTTTTCTTTGTTTAAAAAAAGAAAAAATCTAACAATTGCTTAAAATAATCACTTTTTTTTTTTTTTTAACAGAAGTGGGAAATATGTCTATAAGCCTATACTGAACAAGACATGCTGTCCACAATATACTATTAGGTAATCTGTATTTTTAGTGCTTTTTTCCCCCCAAATCTCATAAATTAGGTTACCACAGTTTGTTTGGTAATGTTTGTTTTCCTATTTCCAGATGTCATGCACTTAAATTCCAGCCTTCCAAATCCCATAAGAAAATCCTTAAAAAGATGAGCAAATTTCTTTCAAAAGGGGATTTGTCGACAGTAGGAGTAGATGGTAAGATGTATTATTTTTATTTTAAGATTTATCAAAATTTATTCTTAATTTTACCCTGAAAATAAAAAGCAATTATGTATTTTTGTTGTTTTTGGTAATAATGATCCATAGTGTGTAATTTTTTAAATATGTATTTTGTAGTTTGTATTTCTTGTGTCTTTCTCTCTGACTATTGCAAAGCATGCCAATAGAGATTATAGTTCATGTAGTTGCCTAAATTCATATCATAAAATATAATAAACATACTTGAAAAGGGACAAAAATAAACTTGTAACTTGAGCTCGACGATTATTTATTTATTTTTTTTCCATGGCCGATGTCGATTGTTTAGAATTCAGAGAAACTGATAGCCAATAAGCTCTGCTGGGGTCGATTTTGATTATTTTCCCCAAGTTATGTATTTAGAATTTACTAAAGACTCACCCAATCCCTTTTTCACCACAGACCTACAAGAGAGCCTTGTCATGTTTTTGCAGTTCTATTTTCACGCTGAAGTGTTCAAATAAAGTTTTATGCTTATTCTTTAGGCAGCAGGTTGGCCAAAACAAAATATCAGCCTGTGGTGGAAATTTATGGCCTAACCCAGTGATAATGTGCAAAATGTCCAGTAAATTGTTCTAGCTCTACTTGTAACTGTGTTTTCAGGGGAGTTAATGGTGTGCGATTTAGCGGGTCCACGGGAACCCAGTAGGTCATGTCCGTCTGAATCCAAGTGCCCATCGATATCAAACGTCCACAAAGAGGACTGTCCCACAGCAGCTCAAGGACAGGAGGAGCAGGATGGGCCCATAGCGCCCACAGCATCCGCAGCAACCACAGCACCCACAGAGGCTACTACGAATGATACGTCTGTCCCACCAACAGCCTCTGCTCCTAAACCAGGTAAAGTGACTGAGATTTCATAAAGCTTAATTTGTTTGGGCACTACCAGTCAAATGTTTGGACCACCATCTCGTTCCACTTTGTTTTTCCTTATGTTTACTGCTCTCTACGTTTTAGAAACATACAGAAGACATTGAAATACATTGCCAGATTTATGGGATTATGCAGCAAAGTAAAACTACATTTTCAAACCTATATTTTATGTTAAAATGCCTCAAATTAGCCTCCCTTTAGTTTGCTGCAAACCCTTGGCCTACTCTCAGTGAGTTTACATTAAAGTCACCTGAAATGGTTTTCGTTTCAAGGTGTGCCATGTCCACTGTTGGGCAAGTTACTTTAAAACTGTAATGCGTTATTTATTACTTGTTACTGTAACTTCAAAGTAATTTGTTACATTACAATATTACTGCATTTAAAATGTAAGACATTACACGATTGCAGCAATTTTAAGTTACTCTCACCAAAATAACTTCGAATATGCTGAACTTTTGTGCCGTATATGGATTGAACCAGGTCTAAACCAGGTCTAAACCAGGTCTAAACCAGGACCAAACCAGGACCAAACCAGGACCCAACCAGGACCCAACCAGGACCCAACCAGGACCCAACCAGGACCCAACCAGGACTAGAACTTGGAATCTAGGACTGCCCCTGAGAGAATCTATCGTGGCGATTTTAGAAAATTTGTATGAAGAAAAACCCACCACTTCAATTCAGGTTAAAAAGCATTGTAACGCGCATTATTGACATTTGTACCGAGTAAAATATTAATATAATTTTTTCCCCTGTAATGCCTTACAGTACTGCGTTTGCACGTCCACAAAAAGCAATGGATTACGGTAATTCGTTACTTTTAAGTTACTCCCAACACTGGCCATGTCAGGATTAAGGAATGCCTATTGTCAAAGCAAAAGGTGGCTATAGTTTTAATGCTTCCAGTAAAAATCTACAGTATAAATCATCATGGAAATATGAATATGAAGAAACATAAATGAAAAAAAAAAGTCCAAACTTTTGACTGGTAGTGAAGGTATTTCAACTCAATGTATGTGCACTTAATCGTTAGTTCTATGTTTTATATAGATCTAGATAAATGGCATTATATTCACCATAAGATATTACAAAAAGGTACAGCTATGAATTCATCAGACAATTTTTTGAAAAATACATCAGTAATGTGTAGATGGGAGACCAAGGCTTATTCAATACTCAGGGTGCAATTTTATCAGACAAAACATAAATAATACTAGAAAAGCACTCAGAGAGTGCAGACCTCCGCCAAGGACTACCCCAATTTTTTATATAAATTGCGATAAAATCAGTCTTCTGGATCAGATCCGGATCAGCCTTTGGAATATGAAAGAGGATCCCATTGTCCATCCCTGAGTCAAATTTCATGGGGTTTGGTCAATAATTAACCGAGATATTGAGAAACAAAATTTTTGGCCCCATTTACCACAATGTTAACTAAAATTTCAAAGTGATCCAGAATCCAGGATTTCTTCCAGATCACCCCCAAAATGAAATCAGTTCTTTCTTTTCACATTTCCAACAAATCCTGAAAATTTCATCAAAATCGGTCCATAACTTTTTGAGTTATGTTGCTAACAGACAAACAAACAAACAGACAAACGCCGGCAAAAACATAACCTCCTTGGCGGAGGTAATAACATTTTACTACTTTAGCTCACCAACCACCTGAAATCCTAAAACAATGTTACTAAGTTGCCAGTAGATGTCGCCCTTCACCGTCTTAATTTAGTCTGCACTGCAAAGCTTGTTCACGCAGTTGTGAGTTGCCCTTTTACACAACCAGGTTTTGGCTCGACTCTCTTTCCCATTTCTCTCACTGTAACAACATTTCCAGCCAGTTCTCTGTTTGTCTTAATTAGACTGGTGCAAATGGATTGTAGTAAGTCACCCCTGCAGCACTGGTTGCCCTTTAACCACTTTTGGGATGTGTTAAACGGGGGCAGGTGGGTGGTGAACAATCCAAATGAGTGTCCCACACATTAAAACCTGATGTCGGACACTATTCCCAGATGCAGACATAAACATTAGGTGGAAAATGTGAGCGGTGCCAGTGGATCTGTATCACTCGCACATGTATCCACACCGTATTCCCCTCTGCGCTGAAATAAGAGGCCTTTTCAGGAGACCCGAAAAGAGGAAGCGGGAGGATTTACTGTGTAGAGCCGCTGGTTATCCGTTCCTCCCTCGTTCACGTCCAACACAAACCACCTGGACGAATCTTCACTGGGTTTATGACTGCGGCGCTTTATGGCTTTGGGCGAGATCCAGTGGTAGCTTGAGAAAACATGGCTCTCCATCTGCTGCAGAGCCCACATAATGCAGAGCCAGATGTAAACGCACTGAGGAAAATGTAATATGCATTGTTTAGGTCTGAAAACAGGCTGTAAGCATATGTGAAATCACTTTACTAGAACTATACTAAGATGCAAAGTTACACAACAGTCTGAACCCTGAACAGTTAAAGGTGCACTGTGTAACTTTGCTGTTTACCCACCACCTGATTGTCCTCATGGAGATATTATTGTTTTGCCAAAAATGTTGTTCTACAGTTTTGCATTAAATTTTGCATCAGTTAGCGATGTAACGATATCGAAATCTCTCCATACGGTATTTTCACGATATACATCCCACTGTACGGTATTGCGATATTTTGTAGATGCTAACAAAATTGTATTACTTTTCGTGTAGTCTGCACTGTAATGGAGCAAAGGATCATGGTATATGTAGTTCACTCCGTTTTTTAGCTATTGCTGCACCAAAACAATGAATTTAAGCAAAGAGACTTGAAATTCGGTATATTGTGATGGCCCATGGTATTATTGTGAGACTTTTGACGATACAGTATCATGATATTTCAGTTATTGTGACATCCCTACTATCAATGTATCTCCATGGAGACAATCAGGTGACAGATCTGTGAAGAGGCAACCCAGCTCACTGTAAGAATGTATTTATTTCAAGGTGTATTTGAGCAGCAAAAACGCATGTAATTAAATGAATAAAAAACAATAAAAGCATACAGTGTAACATTTCAGGCAAAGCATTAACATCTCTTTGGAGTGTAGCCGATGGCAACCCTCTTACTAGAAAAATTACATGGTGCACCTTTAATTTATTGACCAGAGCAGTTGTTCAATCGTTCCCAAAGTCTGTAGAGTTATGCCCCCCTATTTATCTGAATTGTACAGGGCCTCTCGATAACAATGCATACTTAATACAAAACAGTAATGTTTTCCTCTCGAATGTACATGTTGACAGTACATATCATAATGTCGATGGGCTTAATACTGAAGTTTCTTTTATGCTTGTTGTGTGGACAATGCAATATTTATGCTTAGTACAGTACATTTGTACTGTACAACACACATATTTCCAACACAGACGAATGTCTTACCCCCAGCAGATGGATAGTGATGCATTTGTAGTGTTAAATCAATAATATAATGGTACTGTTTTATTAATATTTAGTTAAATAGTTAATTTCTAGCAGTGCTAATCAATTTGTCAACCCATGGATACTTGATCACCGTGGAGCTGATATCGCATTCTACACAAAGTGTTCTGTTCTCAAGAGACCAGTTTTGGCTCATAACTTCTTAAGACACTGTTGAATACACACACAAACATGGACATCTTAACTACTTTCTCAACAAAGTCCTGTTACCTCTGTACATCAGAGGTGGACACCCACCTCTACAACTTCAACCTGGAGGCTCTGCTCTGCCCCACACCAACAGGGAGCGCTCAGGAGCTAGAGGAGACCCAACTGGTGACCCACAACATCCAGGACTCCTCCAACCCTGAGGAAAGAATTCTGGTCCAGGAACTTACACCCCTGGTGGGCAGCGCTCTGTTCAGGGCGCTCCAGGAACAGTTGGAGCAGATAAGGGCCAGGCATGCAGGTCAGGTCCAAATAAGCTTTGTTTTGGACTGCAAGCTGGAGAGGATTGGCAAACAAAAGGGACTTGGAGTTGCAAAACCTTTCTGATACTCTTCAGAAGAAGGACAAGCAACTACAAGACGAAGTTAACGCACATAAGGAGATCCGGTAACTAATTCTACAGTACAGGAAAATGGGCAACTAAAACAAGAGCTTGCCAACTGCAAATAAGTCAGAGAAAAGACAAACAAAAAAGACTTGGAGTTGAAAGAGCTCAAAGCTACTCTCCAGAATAAAGGTAAAGAGCTGGAAAACCAAATTATGCGTACAAGGTGATAAAATATCTTTATAATAATAGAGTGAGAGACAAAGTTCAGCTCAAACAAGAGTTATCCAGCACCAGTAAAGCCCATGAGAAGATGAAGAAAAACTTCAATCATTTATAATGGACACTCAAGCCATTTGTATTGATGTTGGTGGAGATCTAACCAACAAAGAAAATGAGAAACTGTCCAGGAAGGTGCTTGAGCTGTCCTTTAAAGTCTTCTCAGCTTGGGAGGAACTGTGTTCTGAAAGTCAAAGAGCACAACCGTCCAGTCGCCCAAAAGGAGCAGCCGTTGTGGAGGAGCAGATGAGGGAGCCCAAGCGTTAACAGCACTAAAGCACCTCCAACCATTACCCTTTACACTTGCATTATTAAAAAAAAGTAAACTTTTTTTTTTGTTTAATGTATGCATTGGTCTTTATTTAGTACTTATTAAGGTTTTATCATTTTTTCTCATTGTTTAATTTACACTCCAGCCACATAGCATTCTGTGGTTGTTAGATTTTTATGCAGAAATGGGTAAAATGGATGTACAGAAAATAATATAACACAAGATAAAAAGAAATTAGAAGATAAAATTGGCTGCTGGATTATAGTTACCCTGTCTTTTAGTAATATTTTGGGATTGAAGTTTTAAGCCATTGTACATTTAGAACGAAACAAAATACAACAATATATTCAATTTTTAAAAATTATTATTATAGGAGATTCCTTTTTTATAACAATACAGATTTACTCAGTCTAAGAAGAGGTACACTAGGCTTTAACAGTTTAACATTTCTTACTTCAGTATTATCTCCTCAATCCTTTACCCAGAGCACCTTTGTGGGAGGCAGTCTAATAGTAGCACAACCCTTGGCCACTACCACCACTTTCTCTTGTGCTGAACACCTGCCAAAGTACAAGTCTGTCCACAACCTCTTTGTGGGTAAACCTCTGGAGATCTGTGTGTTTTGCCTCATTTCAGTAACGTGAGCTTTGGTGAATCAGAGCCAGTGTTTTGTCTCTTTGCGTGTGCGTTCAGCTGCAGTGGGCCCACATAATGCCTCTCTTCTGCACAGTTTACACCCAGGACACCGCTCAGATGTGAGTGAGAGCTCTGGGATGTGAGGAGGAGAAAGTTGTCACGCTTTTATGGACTGCTAACGGCAGCAGAGGGGAGCCCAAGTCTAACACAGGAACTATTCTGTCAGGTTTTATCTCTAGGCTGCACTTCAGAACCTGTGGGGCTGTTTGTGTGGGTTGGATAGGTAGGCAGGTAGCAGAGCCAAAAACTGTATTTAGCTGTGTTTAAAGTTACCAAATAAGAATGGATTTTTAAAAAAAAGAGAGAGAGAGAGAGAAAATTGTTGGTTCTTAATAATAAAATGTTTTTTGTTTTTTTTAGGCGTAACATGTATTTGTTATGGCGCTATTGTAATCATAATTATGTGCAAAGTAATTCCAAGCAATAAATCAGGTGAACTGACATAGGTACAAATTATGAATAACCATCCATCCATTTTCTTCCACTTATCCGGGGCCGGGTCACAGGGGCAGCAGTCTAAGCAAGCACTCCCAGACTTCCTTCACCCCAGACACTTCATCCAGCTCCTCCGGGGGGACCCTAAGGCGTTCCCAGGCCAGCCGAGAGACATAGTCCCTCCAGCTTGTCCTGGGTCTTCCCCAGGGCCTCTTTCTGGTGGGACATGCCCGGAACACCTCCCGAGGGAGGCGCCCAGGAGGCATCTGGAACACCTCAACTGGCACCTCTTAATGTGAAGGAGCAGCAGCTCTACTCCGAGCCCATGTGACTGAGCTCCCCACCCTATCTTTAATGGAGCGAGTCACCATGACCATAGGTGAGGGTAGGAACGAAGACTGACCGGTAAATCGAGAACTTTGCCTTTCGGCTTAGCTCTCTCTTCACCAGATTGGTCTGATACAGCAACCGCATCACTGCCAACGCTGCACCGATCCGCCTGTCAATCTTACGATGTATGAATAACTCTTCTTATGAGAGCACAGTTTTTGTAAAATGTTATTACTCAACTAAGTTCAAAATATGACATCAAACTACACTCACAAGTAAAATTTTATCAAAAGCATGCATAAATGTACTTTACCAAACTCCACATCAAACTTTGCACCAGACCAGGCTGAAATCTGAAACTCATCCTGGACTAGACCTGAACTAAACCAAGGCTAGAACAAGACCAACCAAACCAAGTCTACATTAGGAGAACTGAACTGGGCTTAAACCAGAACCAAACCAGAGATTTAGAGAGGGGAAAATGTAAAGTGGCAAAGGAGAGAAAAAGAGGGGGAGAGACAGGGAGGAAGAGAGAGGGAAAGCGGGGACAGCGAGAGGGAGAAAGAGAGTGAGAGGGGTAGAGAAAGAGTGAAGGAAATGGAGAGTAAGATAGTAATGTGTAATTGGATGCAGAGAGGCACGTGGGCGATTGAGGATAAGGGCTTCGTGAGATGGACACAGACCAGATGCTGGTTCCTGTTGGTGCAGTAGGAGCAGCTCTGCCTTGACCCTGTGCTGTTTATTCAGACTGAAGAAAACCATTCAAACACACTGTAACTCTTCATGACATGTGTTTATATTAGCAGACGCCAACACTGCAAACCTTAAGAGGGTCATTAGGAAGAAGAACTTATGGGTTAGCTGTAATTATGTTGTTAAAACTGAAATATAACAATAACTGTAAACTGTAAAATGTATTGGTATTTGTTAACATGCAGATTTCAGTTGTTATGGCATAGTCACCACAATTGTGATAAATATTTGTGGATTTTCCTTTTGAATGTTTCCTGTACCATGTCCAGTCCTCAGTACAAAAAGTTTGTTGTATATTGTTCTGTGAAGTACGGACATTTTAATACTGCATTCATAAGCAGGTGGAGGTTGCATATCAAGTCTTTATCAAGTTATTTATGATATGAAAAATACAATTGCATGCTTATTTAAAAGTGTTTTGAAGTCATGGTGGGTGATATGCACAAATTGGATCACATTTTATATTTTAATCACAATTCATGCACACTTACTACCGCATCTTTATAATCAAATAACTTTTTCTTCTCTTTTTTAATTCTCACACTCTATTGTCAGTTCAGGGCATACCTCACTGTGACGTGTATGAAAGCGGAGCATTTGTGAGTGTGCTGTGAATGGCGGTGTTTGGCAATTGGACAGGAAATCGTTGTAGTTTCCTTATTGCTCCAAACAGGATGTGGGCGTGTAAACTGTTGATAGGAGATGCCCGAGAGCCTGAGCGGGGCCTGGCACTGTCCCAGGAGGAGGATGTGGATCAGAACGACGAAGAAAGAAAAATGTTTGGGGAATTTAAGCCTTTTTGTATGGGACAAATATAAACAGCGTATTTCCTCTCGGTAGCAACAGTAACAGAGAGCCCATATTATCTTCATCAGTGCCCCGCCATCTGCTTTGATTTGGGCCTAACCACACTATGCTGTTACAATACGCACCACTTAAGCTCACACTGACTGCAGAATTTTATAGCATCTTTACGAATTATGTATGCAGTGTTTTTTTCTGTTGGCGTGAGAACCAATGGTAAGATCTAAATTGGAATTAATCATATGAACTGATATAGAAGTATAAACAGTGGTGACTATTTCTGTATTTTTTTTTTTAATTGCTGCTAATTTAACTACTTTCTAGACTAGGATATTCTGAGGAAACAAAGTTAAGTAAGAAACGTTTTCATGTTACAAGTAAAAAAAAAAATTAAAGTACATTTTTATTATTAAAATAAAAAACATATCTATTTAATTATTATTAGATAAATTGATGGATTAAATTAGATTAAAGAAGGAAAAAAAAATCAAAGACTTCCTCTTCCCCCAAAAAACTTAAAACAAGTATAGGTATTGATATATTTGAAATGAAAGACTTTCCCAGTTGTAACTACATTGTCATAATGTTGAATCTGTGTCCTTACTTCCAATTTCTATCCTTTAGCCTTGGCTGACTTTAATTGCTTCTGTGCTTAGTGCTGGCCACATAAAGGTGACGTTATTCACATTTCCAAAAAGCCATAATTGAGTTATTACTGCGTCTCTTGCTTGTGTTTTCTCATCTGGAAATGCTTTACTCTGTCCTTCGCAGCTTCAGACTAAACACTGCCGTTTTTATTAAATCTAAAACCCAGATCCCTTTGAAAAGCTGCTTTGTTTTTATAAATGTGTGCGTGTTTTTGTGTGCGCAGGAACGGGAGCGGATCCCAACAAGCCGCCGTGTCGTAAGGCCAAAGACATCCGGAACGAGCGGCGACTTCAGAAGGAGCAGAAGAGGCAGAGCTCTGACGGAATCGCACCCTCAACCAAGCCTCCTCCCACGGGCCCTAGCCAAAGTAACCAGCCCAAAAGCCTGGAGGACTTCATAGAGGAGTCCCTCACTGATGGCAACGCTCATAGCCTTGAGGTGAGGTCGACCACACAGTACAATACAGTCATCTATAGTTCACTAACAATGGATAAGCATTAGCCTATTCTAAAAATTAAATGAGCATTTCCAGTTTTTTGATAGCCTGGTCAGCAACTGATTTATTATTATAAAGGTGCACTATGTAACTTTTCTGATGGGAGGGGGTCTGCTGCCCTCTTTTCTCCATGGACCACGATGCTTTGCCTGGAGTGTCCCACAGAATGACATTAAATTCAGTGATAGGTGTGTCCTGGTGGCACCACTGCTTGTCTACATTGTGATAGATAAGTTTATTACCATACTGTGAAACTTTCCTGGCAAAGCAATCACATCTCCATGGAGACAAGTCAGTTGACAACTAAAACAGTTACAAAGTGCACCTTTAAACAGCTCCCCTTTTTTGTTTTTAAGTCTTTAACATACTTTTTATCAATTGTTGGTCCGATTAAGAGAAAATGCATGTCTCCAAATTTCAACTACAACTATTTGTATGACTGTAAACCCTCTAGATGGGGGGTAAATACTTAACTCACTGCACAACTGTGAGTCCCATTTAACATTTTTGCACATATTTGATCTACATTTCCATCCATTATTGGTAATTGCACATTATGAATGTCTCCAGACTTCAAACAAAGAAAGAAATGTCCAACTTTTTGTATAGGAAATAGTTATAGGTTGGCTGACCAGGCTTTCACTGGATTCTGCTAAGCCTCAAATGTGCCCTTTACAATTCTGAGTGCTTTGCCCCAGTGACTTCACCATGTGTTTATAGAAGTGGAGAGAGGAGATCCGTCCAAAGCCCAATGGAAAAACCACTACATCCCGGTTTCAATTCTACCAAAAGACACGCGCACCACACAATTCGACTCGAGTTTCCCCCAATGATGACATTCTAACCACAGCTAACCACCCAGCCGGAGTCGGAGCAGCGCTTGGCAAATTCTCTGGCAAAATAGAAAGATCTTTGGCATAAAAACACATGTTGAGGTCAGGGAAGTAACGTCAATGTTGGTCTGAACTGAGATTTGAAGCAGATACACGGGTAATCCAGGCAGTTTGGAGCTTGTTGGTGCTCCCATTCAAAATAAGCAACCATTTTCTACAACGCTCAGGCCTTCCATTTCTTTAGTTGTAATAATAATAATAGCTTCTAGATGCACCGGTTAAATTAAAAGGGTAAATTATATGTTAGGTGTTTAACTGTGCCCAAAAAAATTTAATGACATGTTTTACAAATGCAGTTTTTATTTAGCGGTTCAGAAAACACAACTAACCAGACCGCATTGTAGTTGTGACTCTATTAAAACAACATTTACTTGGAGGAAATTGCCCTACCAAGTTCTTTATATTGAAATATTAAGTACAGTTGACTTAAACCAATATTTTAACAAAGTAGGAAGGAACCGTATTTCTTACTTGATTGGTACCATTTGAGTACTACACGTTGAAATAATTAAATTTCTTGATGTAAAAGTAAGATCATTACATATTCCCCACTTCTAATTTCAAAATGAGTGTTATCTGAAACACCAAATCAGTTAGACATTTATGTGACTTCCTCCTTAGAGCCATTGTTATAAATGAGTGAGTGTTGTTTACTGAGTCACCACCAGAGGTCAGTGTGAGAACGTGAATTGGCGCTCTTGGGCACTCCAGGGACCAGTGGCACTGCGTATAACTGTCCCATTATTGAAGTTTTAAGGGACAATTTTGTATTTAAAACATGGGTTATTAAAACTAACAGCCTTTTTGACTTTTTATTTGAATTATCCTGATTCAAATACTACAAAATGTATTTATTTTCTCAAAAGTTCAAGACAGAGCCGCAAGTATTGTATGTCTTTCAAGGAACATTCTTCAGTTGAATATTGAACATATTATCCAAATTTCCATAAAATTGTTTTGACATTTTGGCATATTCCTGTTCCTGTTGAACCCGCAGCCACTGATAAAAATGCTCCTTTAAACCATATCTTATTAGTGAATTAAATGCAGTTATTTTCAGACATTATTGGTGTATCATCTTTCTGGTTTTCTGAAAGATCTACATACAGAGAGCACATAGAGTGAGACCGGTGCATGTCCAACTCAAATAAACGCCAGGCTAAGTTCCCGACAGTTCAAGGCAATTTTATATCACAAGCTGGTGGCCAACACAAGCTCCCCAGCGCTGAGATGGTAATTAAATTTGGGCCGAAGGAAGTTAAAATTGAGTTCAAATTCAGCGACAATAACAACGTAGCTACTTTCTCATTCGAGTAGTGTGTCTGTTATGGGCTCTGTTAGATATTGAAATGGGAATGAGTGGGCTGCTTGGCTGAACATAGACTTCTGTTCACCCTGTTTGACACCTCTGTAAAAAAACAAGTCATTAAAACTTCCAAATGAAAATTAAAAGCACATTTTTCATGCTGTTATTTAAGAATGAATGGAAAAGGATCAAATTTCATCATTGATGGACCAGGTCAGATCTATATCAAAGTCCTGAGATTACACTGTAATTTAAATTAAGCAAATAAAAGCACTCAAAAGCTTTACAATAATAAATAAAGAACAAATATCAAAACCATTTATTTACAAAGCATGGTGAAATCACTTGCGGCAATGGGCTCATACATAAAAAAGGCAATCAATAGGCTAATGATTATTGCTCCTCTGGGACAAAGACTCTGCTACCAAAGCTTTTTCCACAAACAACCGATCTTTACAGAGGGATAAAACACACTTTTAGAGATAAAACTAAATTATTTGAATTACTGTAGAAAATGTTAAAGTGCATTATTGAAATTTTAATGCAGTATGGTATTGCATTAGATTTTCAATAATGTATTTTAGTGCATTAGTGGATTTTTTCAATTGGATTTACACTTAAAGATGGACTTTGAAGCTTTTCTAGAGGAGGATATGCAACCTGCTTGTCTATATGGAGATGATATTTCTTTTCTTTTTTACTTATTTATCATGTATTTATTCAATACAGGTGATTTAATACTTATACCTTGCATTCTGTTGCATTAGGGCTCACCTCTCCACAGATCTGACTTGTAATTTGGTGATAGCGAACATCATACTGAGCTGACCATTCTACACAATGCAGTTACATCGCTATGGAGACAGGCTGATCGTATTACCTCCTCCAGAAAAGTTATAGTCCACCTTTAAAATAGAGCCCAAATACTGCATACCTGTGAAACAATTGGAATTTTTATTTTTAATGAATTAATTAAGAAAACCAAAATGATTTCAATCTATATTAAATTGAAACTGTTGTTATTATTATATACTGAAAGCTTTAACTACAGGATGTGTTTTTTTTCTTTGAGTATGTTGTGTCCCTCTCTCCTTTCATGATCTTCACTTCTAACCCCTTATCTCTCTGTTTGCACTTGTTTCGTGTTAACCCTTTTGTGACCATGTTCTTTTCGAAGGTGAGGCTAGTGCGCTCCAATCCCCCCAGCCCGCAGTTCAAAGCCTCTTTCGACGCCTCCTACAAAGTGTACAAACTCTACCAGATGGCCATTCACAAGGACCCTCCTGAAAAACCGTCCGAGAGCCAGGTCAGAGGGCGAGGGTCGTAGGTCAACCTGCTCCAGCCACAGCTACAGGGAGGGAGGTTCAGAGACACCTTAAGTAGTGGTGAAAGGGTTATGATCTGCTTTCAAGTGAATGAAGATTAGTGTGTTAAGATGTAGGAATAGGGTCTTTTTGTGAATTATATTTTTAATACAGGTGAATGGGAATCACTACTTCAATGTTTTATACAAGCATCTTCCAAAAAATATGTTTTTTTAGTAGTAAAGAGAATTGAAAAAAAGCAAATATAGGACTAGTTTGAAGGTGATGGCTTGAATTGATTATGCAGTAGTGGTTATTTGAAGTATCAGTATTGTTTTAAATGATCTGCAATTCTAATTTAAAGAGTGTTTTATTTAGTATATTAAATGAAATCAGTCAATAAAAACATAAATCATAATTTTCAAATAAATATAAAGCTAAACAGAACTGTTTTTAACCTAGAGCTGCAACACCAGAATAGTACAAGTTCAAGTACAAATGAATATCTGTCGATGCAGAGGATCAAACCTAGACTCTTCAAAAATATAAACATAGCTTGAACGTTTGAGAAACTAGACACCTGACTTCTCCATTTTGAAACCTACAGTAGACATTTTGTGCAGTTATGGGGGGAAATGGGGCCAAAATGTCTGTCTGAATTAAAAGCTGTGAATGGGGTGTCACATCGTGGGGGCCGCACATGTAAAGGAGCCGGCCTCAAAGGCTGCGGAAATGGACTGAAATGTTTCCATACGCCCGTGTTTCTCCAGGTGTGTGAGTGGCCAGAGGCGACTCGGTGATGATGAGGTTCTTTTACACTTTTGTGGGGGGCACTTTGTCAGCTGACCTTCACGCCTTCACTCCACTCCCCTGTCTGCCCCCGTCACACTACACCGTAATGTCTGAAAGGAAAACTGTGGAAATCTAGGATGGCTTAAAAGCAGTTTGATGTCATTGTCTCATTCGGTTCGGTGGTTGTAATTGTTTGTGAGTAGGTTGGATATTGTTTTAAGGCAAATCAGCTTTGCCAAGAAGAGTCATAGATTGGACTGAACAGTTTTGGCAAAATACTGAATTGCAATAGCGATTACAATTGTAATTTTTGATGTTAATAGTAAAACTATTTCTTTTCAATTTTGAATGTCACTGTCTCATTCAGTTTGATGGCGGTAATTGTTTTCGAGTTGGTTCAATGTTGTTTTATGGCAAACCAGCTCTGCCAGGAATAGTCAAATAGATTTGGACAGTTGAACAATTTTGGCAAAATATATTGGAATGTGGTTTACAATGTATTTTTAACAGCAGAATTCTATTCAAGTTTCATTTTAAAACATGTCCAGGAGCATTACCATCTGAGAGAAGACTGAATATAAATTGTTAAACTAATACTAATATTCATGGGATACAAAAACCCATGAATTTCAGAACATGTTTGGATAGTAAACTACAGCTACAGCATGATTTTTCTTGAAAAAGGCAGGATATTTTATTGTTTGCAGACTAAATTATATTAAATAATCACAGTCTTTGTCATTATTTGCTAATAGCGTCCATTGAAATTGCAATATGGATTTGTTTGTGATATATTTTGCAAGACTTTTGCCTGGGTTAAAATGGGAGGATAGAATTACAATGTTGTTTAACAGTACAATATCATAATTGTTGTGTTGTTACGGCAGAGAAACTTTACTATTTGGAGTTTTTAAGTATTACATTGTAGCTGTCTGTTCATATCAAGATGCTAATCTACTACACAACTGGGTTTTGGTAAATGGTTATTATTTAGAAATTATCCAAATGAGAAAATTTGAATAGTACAGCATTATTGTTCATTGCTCATTATCATTAAGAGAATAACAACAACACAAAAACATTCAAAATGCTTTCATGGCTTAATTTGCTTACTAGAAAAGGCTTGTATACATATATTGTCATCATTGTCCATTTGGGGTCATCAGCAGTAATCTCTGGTAAAGGCTGGGCAGTGCACTAGCCTCATCTTCAGAAAAGGACTTCCTGTATTCTGGTCTGTCTGCCGTCAGTCTCCTTGAACTCTCTCGAAGTTTATCACACCGTGTTTATGTTTTAGGAATGATTAAGTCAATGTTTCCTTTCGGAGCAACAATCTCATACAATTTTGGGATCAGGTGTGTCAAATTCAAAGCAGGCCTGCCGTGCAGCCTCTTGCCTTGAGGACGGGGAGACTGACGTGAACCCAGAGAAGCCACAATCACTTCTATAACACTGTTTTACCTTCACTGCCAAATCTTCCCCTTTACACTCCTGCCTCTCTCCTGCTTTTAATCAAACAAGGGCTGCACAAGTACACATTATTATTACACAGTATTTCAATTATATTTCAAACCTGAGAAAAAAAAATTGACAAAATTATAGAGAGTTTAAATCTTTTGTCAAAACTAAATTATTATTTAGACTATTAGCTATAGCAATTAAAGGTGCAATGAAATTAATTTTTTCTTATCTTATTCTGGAATTATAGTCCCCAAACGTGCAATTTTTCTGGTTGGGGTTTTGCTACCTGCTGGTGTTCATGGAGATATTATTGCTCTGCTATGAATGATCTTCAGTATGACGTTAAATCTGTCTATCTTGCATTCAGTTATAGTTGTTTGCCTCCATATAGATACATTTAATGCCATACTGTTTAACATTCCAGTCAAAATATAACATTTTCTGACAGCAACAATATTTTGACATAATCAGGTATTTTAGAATGACTGAAAAAAAATATTGCAGGAAAAATAAATGTATTGAGCCCTATTTTATGGTGCAGCCCTAGTTCCAACCACTTGTACTTTGAATTGTTGTATGAATTGATGCACCTGCTCCACCTGTTTGCCCCCTCCCCTCCCTCATGCTGAAGGTGAGGCTAGTGCCGGTGAACTTTGACGACCCCCAGTTCACTGCATCATATGAGCAGTCTGCGGCTCTGTTCGCACGCTACCAGATCGCCATTCACAACGATGAGGAGTGTGATGAGAGCGAGGTACTGCATGTTTTTATTCCGCACCCAATAAGCCTGGCACAGTAATACATTGTATGTTTAGTATGCAATAAAAACTAATATTGAGACTACTTTGTGCCTCTGAGATAATAACCAGCATGAAAATCTCATCAAACTCTTTTCTAAATGGACCATACTGTAAATAAGACATAAAGGCTTAAGATATAGCACAATGAAACACACAAAATATTTCTACTACGACGACGACTACTGCTGCTATTACTGCTTCTACTACTACCACTAATACTACTATTGCTACCACTTCTACTACTAATACTACTAATACTACTACTACTGCTACCGCTTTTACTATTACTGACTACAAAAAAGGCTTGTCCATATTGTAAAGTGCAACATATAAGGAGTTATTATTGAAAAGTTCCCCAATATTGAAAGTAAAAGGTATAAATATGTAAAATCTAAAATTGTATTGCTCATATCTCATTTTCTCACAGTAAAATGTATTATTGTAACAGAGTTTGCACTTAGTTATCCTAAGCCTGGCACCACTGCACAGCCAACTGACTTCTGCTTGCCACTGTTTTATTGTGTAAAAATATTTTTATTCATGACTATAATTTTAATTTGAGCCCAAAGTTAATTGAAAATTCGTTTTTTTCAGCCCATTTAAGCAAAACGTAATAAAATGTTAGAAATACCAAGACAGGTGGATTGTAATTATGAATGCTAATAAGAAACGTGACATGGCTGCAGTGACAAGACAAGCCTGTATATGGTTTACTATTTGAATTATTTAGCATTGTCACAAGTAGCATGCCCATTTTTCCATTTATTTCAATGAAAGACCTAATTAAAAACATTAAATTACCCTGGCCCCAATACAAATGTTCACCTCAGTTGGTTGGCTGCTGTGTTGATCATAAACAGATGTGGCAGGAATGCTAAAAAGCTAAAGCCCTAAAGCCATACGTGTTACCTAATATGTGCAATGCCTGTAATGTATACAATGTGCATGTTTGAGGAGTCTATTTTTCAAATCTTAAGCATACACTATGTAACTGTACTGGTGGAGGGTCCGTCACCTACTTTTCTTCATGGAGTTGCCTAGAATTTTCCACAGTATGGCATTTAAGTTATGGTTTGGACATGTCCAGAGGAGGGATAGTGAGTAGAAGGATGTTTACATTAGAGTTTAGGCCTAGAGGATGGAGAGATAGATGGATTCAATGAAAGGTAACAGTTGATGAGAAGAAGATGCATGTGCTTGTATTTCTTTTATATTGCTCCCTGAAAGGAAAAGAGGCTGGCATATCTAACAGTGGTCTTGCTGGTTACTTTTTTTTTAAACATACATATACAGTAGTACTCTATTGGTATTAGAATTGTCAATAAATTGATCAAAATATACTAAACCTAGTTCAAAAGAAGATTCTCAAAACAAGATACTTTTGAAATTATTACTGACTAAACTGGACAAAGTTGACCATTCAAGGGTCATTTATTCTACGTAACAATTAGTTTAAGACCACATAACGTTGAAGAAAGTATCATTATTTCAGACTGGTGCCACCTAGTGCCTCCGCTCAATTTCATTTTTTTCCAGCGACTAGGTCAGGAATCAAAATACACTAAACGGTTCACAAAATCCCCAGTAGTGCGAGTTCGGACACCAGCCAGTCAGCGAAGAGCCATACATTCTGTGTTGGCAATGATTCCCGAGATTGAGAATTTAAAGCCGGAACAAAGAGAATGTTCAGTGACTTTTATCAAGGGGAAAGACGTTATAACCCTTCTTCCTACAGGATTAGGGAAAAGCTTAATATACCAGTTAGGCCCCTTAGCAGCGCATTACATACGTCACGACCAAATAGCAGATTGGTTAAATGAAAAAAAGTACCCGCCTACTGTCAAGCGAACAAATTCTAACGCTGTGAGGTCAGAGTGATGAATCAGGCTATAATTATGTTGCTTTAAATTAAAGCATTTTAAAATGGTGGTATAGAAATCTGTATTGCA